GGTTTTTCTAGCCAGAAGTGATGGAGACTTCTCTTCCTGGCACTGGAAACCTGTGCTAGGGGCCCTGGTGTGGGACAGGGACCCCTTACTCCTCAAGAAGGATCTTCACAGCCAAGGTGTCCGTCCTGATTTTTATCCACCACACATGGATGTGGGACCAGCCTGTCCACATCTCCACCCCTCCTACCAGTAACTGTTTTATACCAGACTCCAGGTGGCTTTTTACATTTGTTTGTTATAGGACTTCCATTCAGCTCGATTTCAGATTCAGGTGATTCTGAATGATGGTAGTTCTGTAGTTTAGTTGTAATTTTGATGTGGTTGTGGGAGGAGGAGAATACCCCGTTTACCTACACCACCGTCTTGACTGGAAGTCTGTCTTAACAATACTTTTAAAAAGGGAATCACATATAATTCTTTTTCAAATGAAAATGTGTAGGTCAGATACTTTTATGCTTTAGGTATAAATGAAGAAATTTAAAAAAGTATTTCTTAGGTAGGTCTATGTTTTATGGACTTAAAAAACATTATAAAATATTTTAACTAGAAACAAAAGTGGAGAGAAATGTGGCCTGGCTTGTGTGGATCAGTGTATAGAGTGTTGGCCTGAGCACCAAAGGGTCGTGGGTTGATTCCCGGTCAAGAGCATGTACCTAGGTTGTAGGTTTAATCCCTGGCCCAGGTTGGGGCATGTGTGGGAGGCAACCAATTGATGTGAGAGAGACACATCAATATTTTTCTCTCTCTCCCTACTTTCCGCTCTCTCTAAAAATATCAATGGAAAAAAATATCCTCGGGAGAGAATTAACAACAACAAATAAAAGTAGAGAGAAATGTAATGAATTCTTGCATTTATTTTTTAATTGCTTCTATAACAAATTACCACCAATTGAGTGACTATAAACAACCTAATATATCTTACTGTTCTGTAGGTCAGTCATCTGATTTGAGTCTCACTGGGCTAAAATCAAGGTGGCTCTATGAGAATCCATTTCCTTGACTGCTAGGGTCTGCTTGCCACATTCTTTAGCTTGTGCTCTCCTTCTTCATCTTCAAAGTCAGCAACAGTGTAGTCCTATCAGATTGCATCTCTGTGGACTGAATATTTATGTTCTTCCAAAATTCATATGTTGAAATCCTAATGCTGGAACTTATGGTATTTGGAGGTGGGACCTTTGGGAGGTGCTTAAATTGTAAGAGTGAAACCCTCATGAATGGATTTCATTCTTATAAAAGAAATCCCACAGCCCTGGCCATTTTGGCTCAGTGGTTAGAGAGTCAGCCTGTGGACCAGGAAGTCCCGGGTTTGATTCCGGCCAAAGGCACGTGCCTTGGTTGTGGTTCGTCCCCATACCCGGTTGGGGTTGTGAGGGTGGCAACCAATCAATGTGTCTCTCTCACATCGATGTTTCTCTCTTTCTCTCTCTGGTTCTCTCTATATATCTATCTATATCCATATCCGTATCCGTATCCATATCCATATCCATATCCATATCATCTATCATCTATATCTATCATCTATCTATATCTATAGCATCTATATCTTTATCTATATCATCTATATCTATATCTATATCTATATCTATATCTATATCTATATCTATATCTATATCTATATCTATATCTATATCTATATCTATATTTATCTATCATCTCCCTCCCACTCTGCTGAAGATAAATGTAAAGATATCCCCTCAGGTGAGGATTAAAAAAAAAGAGAAACCCCACAGAGGTCCCTCTCCCTTCAACTATGTAAGGACACAGTGAGAAGGCCCTGGCTATGGACTAGGAGGAGGGCTCTCACCAGGATGCAACCATGCTGGCACTCTGATCTTGGACTTCCATCTTCCACAACTTTGAGAAGTGTCGGGTGTTTATAAGCCCCCTAGTCTGTAGTGTTTTGTTATAAGAGACTGAACAAACTAAGACACTTTCCCTCTAACTCTGTATGACTGGGAAATTTTCTCAACTTTTAATAACACAAATGATTAAATTGAATCCACTGGGATAATTCATAATAATCTCCTCATCTCAAGGTCCTGAACCTTAATCTCATGTGCAAAGTCTCTTTTGCCATTTAAGATTAGGATGTGGACATCTTTGGGGGGGGCATTATTCTGCCAACCAACTTTTTGCTTCAACAGTACCAACATTTTGGTATGTTCTCCACCCTGGAAGCACTCCCATGCCTTCCCCTTCCCCCTCTTCTTCCCTGAAGGTGTGTTATCTTTGCCGTTCTCCCTCCTAAGCTCCAAGGGAACCTTTCTTCTGTCTGTAACTTGTTTCCTGAGCCTACGGTGCTCAGCTGACTTGTTTTACTACTCTGTAACTTTCTAAATAAATGTTCTCTTGTAATTTGATTTCTCAGCTCTGAATTCGTTCTTTGCTGAACTCAAGAACTGAGGTTCAATTTTGCTGCCAACATTGCTGGTAACAATAGAATGTGTTGGAGACAGAACCATTTTGTCATATTCTTTATTTAGTTCTTTATCGATGAACATGTTAGTCTGATTTTTTTTCATTGTTGAAAGTATTACAGATGTCTCTCCTTTTTCCCCCCATTGCCACCATCCTCCCCACTCTCCCCTACCCCTGATCCTTAACAATGCTGAACAAATTTTCTTCTTAGGTTAGGTAACCATAAATGACACTTCTGAGTCACAGACAGTGATACCTCGGTTCTCGAACATAATTCGTTCCAGGAGGACGGTCGAGAACCAAATTGTTCGAGAACTGAAGCAATGAAACCCAATAGGAAATAATGGAAACTGGATTAATTCGTTCCAAGCCCCAAAAAATGCCTATTTACTGGCCTAATTTGTATATAATATGTAGAAAAACATAAGTCTCAACAAGAAATAAAAGTGTACAGTATGTCTAAGGGTTAAATTCAGTGTAAAGCGTGACTCTCTCCACAAAGCGTGACTCTCTCTCTGCACTCACACTGATGACGCAAGCAAGGCGCGCTGGGCCGAATGAACGCCATTCGGCTCAACTCGGCTCATCTCGGAAGTTCGAGTTCCAAATATTTGTTCGGATTCCGAGACAAAAGTTTCTCGAATCTCCTGGTCGAATACCGATTTGGTCGAAAGTCAAGGCGTTCGAGAACCGAGGTATCACTGTATTCCTTTTTTTATTCTAATAGATAGTGATAAATCTCCCTTCAAAGTGGTGGTACCAATTTTCACTCACACCCACAGCCTCAACAAGTTCTCTGGATTCCCCAGACCCACTCACTGCTCTCATCCAGGCATCACCAACCCTGCATTCTTGCAACATATCTTAACTGGGCTCCAATCCTCACCTGTTCCTATCCACACTGCAGTCAAAAGAGAGCTAAGCATGCCACTGGCTAATTTAAATTCCCCAGTGGCATCCCATTGCTTTATGGATAAAATCCATGTCATTAGAATAAGTGTGAAGATGCCTCTTGCTTTGGCCTGACCTCATTTCCAGTCCCTTCTCACATGTACCACTGTCTCCAGGCATACTGGAAGCTTCCACTTTGGTCTGGAATGTTCACGGCTCAGCTGAAGCAAAAAAAAAAAAAAAAGGGGGGGGGGAATACATTATTAACATTTTCCCAATATTATTTCTTCTCTTACTTCCCTACTTTTTTTTTTTTTCCCCTGGAGTATTAAAAGAAAGTCCAGAAATCATATAATTTGCCTATAAATACTTTTAGTATAGTTCTCTAATATTTAAAAAACAAACAAACAAACCAAGAAACCATGACCACAATAGCATTATTATAATAAAATTACCAATCATTCTCTAGTGTCATCTAGTATTCATTCCATGTCAAAGTTTCCCAGGTTTTTCAGAAATGTTTCTTTTTAAAAAAGGTGGTTTGTCTTCATTATAACCCAAACAAGGTCCACAAACTGCATTTCACTAATGTGTCTCTTAAACCTGCTTTATTACTCCCTCCCAACCTCCGCCCTTTGTTTCCGATGCTATTTATTTGTTGAATAAAGGAACTGGGTCATTTGGTCTGTAGAATTTCCCACATTCTGGATTTGGCTGATTGCTTCCTGGTGGTGTAATATAACATGTTCATTCGGTTCCCGCACTCCCTTAAGCTTGTAGTAAATTATAGGCTTAACTGGATTTACGTTTCTTTTATCTTTTCTTTTTTAGTTCATGGGAATATTTTAGAAGTGATGCTGCATAATTCCTATTACCTATGAGTGTGCATATAGAGTCTGATTGTCCCAGTTTTGGTGATGTTAAAATTGTTCATCCGGAAATATTTGAAAATATTACAATATTCCTAATTAATAAAGTAATTACCATTTACTGCTACTTACCATATACTAAGCTTTTGCTGGTTGCTTTCTATATTATTTTCTCATATTACGTCTCAGTACATTAACTATACTCAAAATTTGCAAAGACATGCCAGAATTGGTTGGTTGGAAGACTCTCTGAATTATTGCTCTGATCTTTAGTTCACTTCCTGCTGATTTACAGGCTTATTTTGAGGATTATTTGGGATAATGGATATGAAAGAACTTTGAAAAAGTAGATTGGTATATGCTATACTGTTATAACATTAATAATGAGTTAAAGGAAAAATAAAGAAAATCCATAACAAATAGTCACTCTGGCTGTCTCATTTATTCATCACACTTTTCTTGAAGGCACTTTGCCAGGCTGTGAAGACGAAGATGAAAGACACAATGTCAGTCCTCCAGGACCACGGTCTAGTGGGCAGAAGGCAGAGGGAGCAATCAATCACAGGGACAACGCAACAATGAGGCCAGAGCAGCTTGCTCCCGAGAACTGGCCTCTTCCCAGTCGACCCTCACACTGTGCCAGATGAGCCTTGTGCCCCCCACGCGGGTCTTTGGACCCTGCGCCGCCCCCTGGGGCTCTGCGTGGAGCGCAGTGAGCGCGGCTCGGCTGGGCGGAGCGCACCGATCGGCTGGGCGGAGCGCGCTGACTGCGGGAAGCCCACCTCTCCGGCCTGAGCCCAGGTCCTGCATTAAAGAAACGACCACTCAGGCCTTGCGAGGAGGCCAGGGGACCGAGCGCGCGGGGGGACCGAGCGCGTGGGAGCCCCGAGCTCCCTGTTCCCCGCTCTGGCCCGAGGCAACTTGCACCCTAACGGCCTTTCGGTGCCCAAGTGACTTCTCTTCCGTGCGCTACTTTCGATTTTCTGGGGCCTACGCCCGATTGCAGCGACTTCCCAGGGGTTCCGATGAGCGACAGTATGTATGCAGGACACAAGCAGGTAAAGTCTAGAAGACATTTCAGGATGGCAGAAAGGACCAAGTTGATGAAGAAGATGTAGCCACATGTGTGTGTTGGCTTTTCTTTGGACCCGTTGTTGGAGTTGCCATAGGAGCCCCGACTGTGGTTCTCCTCCTGGGGTCGCAGGCCAGCCGGCTCTGTCTGCACAGCTAGCAGGCTCCGGGAGCCCGCGTCCCAGAACCAGGGCTCTGGCGGGGCGAGGCCTGCCTCACCTGGACGACTCCAGGTTTTTCTTCCGGACTGAGGTCGCCGAGGCGGGGTTCCAGGGCGACCTTGACACGTGGCCACGCTGCGGAAACAGGAAGCTGTGAGGATGTTGGGCCCGGGCTCAGAGGACTGGTGAAATAATGGGACCAGGCTAGGGGTGCTCTGCTTTCCGATGGCCCTTGTGTCGTGCCGAGCGCCCAGCGCAAGTATGATTTTACATGTATACTTGTAGCCGTGTTATAATATTTATGCTTCTGTGTTCATTGTTATTTCTTGTTACTGCAAACTGGAACCTCCCTGCCCTTTTAAGATTGCAAGTTAAGGCTGTGACCATCTGGGTGCGACATCTCTCACCCCATTGATTGCCAGGGTTGATTAGGCTGATCTGGCTGGTTTGGCGGGTGTACCCCTCCTCCCTCACAGATCCCTGTGCGTCCCTTCCCCAAGCTGTGCGCTGGGTGGAAGAGGACGACTTTCCCCTCAGAGGAGAGGACTGAGCCTTCAGTCTAGGGTATACAAGTAGCTGCGCTCCTCTGCTAGAACCTCCAAACAAGCTCTCAGGGTCCATTTGTAGGAGAACGTAGGGTAGTCAAGTTTCAGAGACTCCAGACACATCCAAATGAGGCGCCGCACTTGGCAGTCTGCCTTTCTTAAAAAAAAAAAAAAAGATTGCAAGTTAACCTATTGAAAACAACAGTATTTTGGAGTTTAGTTCTTTATTTGCTGGAAAATCACTATTACTTAAGTAGGCTCATGTTATTAAATCATAAGGTTTTCTCACTTCCTAGTTTACTAATGTACATTGGAAAAACACCTGTTTTAAAATACCATTTAAGATGGAAATTTTAACCATAGATAGCCATTGATGACATTGTGGTAATATTTTATTTAAGATAAGGAGTAAGAGAAAAAATTAATAGGTCAGTGCATAGTAAACATGTTTTAAAAATATGTTTTTATTGATTTTTTTTGAGAGAGAGAGGAAGGGAGAGGGAGAGAGAGAAACATCTATGGCTGCTCCTGCACACCCCTTACTGGAGATAGAGCCCACAACCCAGGCATGTGCCCTGATCAGACTCAAACCAGCAACTTCTCTATGTACTGGAGGAAGCTCAACCAACTGAGCCACACCAGCCAGGGCTAAACCTTTTTTTAATGCTTTTGTGGGGAAGGGAATTTAGATAGTCAACAACTTTGAAGTTAAAAATCAGTCAGTGGATAAAATATTTTGCTCTTTTATTATGGATTGTAGCTACTATTCTGTGTTGGGCTGTATAAAACAATGCTGTACATGCGTCTTATAATTACAGGGTGGAGTGAAAGTAGGTTTACAGTCGTGAGTATGCAAAACACTTTATTCTTTTATTATTATTTATTAATTATAGTATTTTCCATATGGACAACTATAAACCTACTTTTGCCCTGTCCTGTGTGTGTGTGTGTGTGTGTGTGTGTATACATATCGTGTGTGTGTATATTCTGTAATTTAAAAGACCCATTCTTTTTTTTGTGAACTATTAATAGCATAATATTAGTAATTTTTCTTTAGCTATGTGGTTCTCAGCTCTTCTTTTAACTTTCAATGTTGGTTAAGTTCACTGTGTGCCACAGAGCAGCAGCCATGTACCTTCTAAGAAATGATGTATTTTCCACTTTTTAAAAAAAAAATCCTTACTTGAGGATATGTTTAGAGAGAGGAAGGGAGAGAGGGGGAGAGAGAAACATCCATGTGAGAGAGAAACATTGATCAGTTGCCTCCTGTTTGAGCTCTGACCAGGATTGAACCCACAACCTAAGTATGTGCCCTGACAGTGCCCTGACAGAATCAAATTCAGTGTTTTGGTGTATAGGATGATGCTCCAACTAACTGAGCCACCTGGCCAGGGCTCTGCTTTAATAACAGTTAATTAAATGAAAGCTTATTCAGCAACAAAAATCACATTTTCGGTTTCATTCCAGGTAAAGGTGCTCTGATTTGGGGGAGCACAAGCCAACTTGAGAAGGTGACTCAGTGATATTCCCCTAAACCCAAGCTCTAAACACTTTGAGAATTTATACACACACACACACACACACGCACACACACATACATATATACATGGTGAATTTAATTCTGAAAGAAAGCCCCTGTTACAGGATATTGTTAGCTTGTAGGGCTCTCTCTGTGTGTTTGTGTTTATTTTTTTTTAAATTGTGGCAAAACCTACATAACATAAAACTATTTTTTTTTAATCCTCACTTGAAGATATTTTTTCCATTGACTTTTAGAGAGAGTGGAAGGGAAGGAGGAAGAGAGAAAGAGAAATGTCAATGTGAGAAAGAGCATTTTTATGTGTACAGTTTAGTGGCATTAAATACATTCACATTGTTTTACAACCATCAACCAGTATCCATTTCCAGAACTTTTTCATCCACCCAAATTGAAACTTCATATCCATTAAATAATAACTCCCCATCCCTCCTCTCCCAGCCACTGGCACCCACTATTCTACTTTTGCCTCTAGGAATTCGACTACTCTAGCTTCCTCAATAAGTGGAATCATAGTACTTGTCATCCTATGACTGGCGTATTGCAATTTGCATAATGTCCTAAAGGTTCATCCACGCTGTAGCACATATTAGAATTTTATTACTTTAAATTAAAAAAAATAATTATGATAAATACACATAAAACTCACCACCTTGCCAATTTTAAATGACTATTTTTAGAGCAGTTTTAGATTCACAGAAAAGTTGAGCAGAAAGTTCAGAATTCCTATATACTCCCTGTGTCTACACGGCACAACCTCCCCCATCATCAACATCCTCCACTAGAGCGATACATTTGTTACAATTGATGAATCTATATGGACACATTATAATCACCCAGAGTCCATAGTTTACATTAGGTCCCTCTTGATGTACATTCTATAGGTTTTAACAGTGCATAATGACTATTATAACAATGTATATGCACTGTTACAGTGTTCTAAAAATACTCTGCATTCTACCTGTTCATCCCTCCCCCTTCCCCCTCAAACTCCTACCCCTGTCCCCAATCCCTGGTAACACTGATCTTTTCACTGTCTTCATAGTTTTGCCTTTTTCAGAATGTCATATAGGAGGAATCATACAGTATTGTAGGCTTTTCACCTTGGCTTCTTTCACTTAAGATCCTTCCATGTTTTTTTTGTTTTGTTTTCATGACTTGTTAGCTCATTACTTTTTAGCACTGAATAATAGATCATTGTCTGGATGTAACGTAGTTTATTTATCCATTTACCTGCCAAAGACATCTTGCTTCCAAGTTTTGGCAATTATGAATAAACCTGCTATAAGTATCTGTGTGCAGGTTTTATGTGGACATAAGCTTTAAACTCATTTGGGTAAATATCAAGCAGCACAATTGCTGGATGATAAAGTAAGAGAATGTTTAATTTAAAAGAAACTACCAAATTGTGTTCCAAAGTGGCTGTGCCATTTGCATTCCCACCAACAATGAATGAGTTGAAGTTGCCAGTCTTCTGGATTTGGGCCATTCTAATAGGTGTGTAGTGACATCTCATTTTATTTATTTATATTATTATTATTTACATCTTTACCCAAGGATCTTTTTTCCATTGATTTTAGAGAGAGTGGAAGGTAGGGAGAGAGGGGGGAGAGAGAGAAAGAAGAAAAAAATCGATGAGAGAGAGACACATTGACTGATTGCCTCCAGTATGCTCTCCATCCAGGGCAGGGATTGAACTTGCAGCCAAGGAATCAAACCCATGACCCTGGGGTGCATGGACCGATGCTGTAACCACTGCGCAACACTGCCCAGGGCGTGACACCTCATTTTAATTTGCATTCCCTGATGACATATAATGTGGAGCATCTTTTCATATACTTATTGACAGTATACTTCTTTGGTAAGGTGTCTTTTAAGGTTTTTGGCCCATTTTTAGTTTATTTTTTATTTTTTCTTGTTTACCCATTGAGGTATAATTGACAAATAAAATTGCATTTATCTAAAACATAACAATGTGATGATTTGAGATTGTGAAATGATGACCACAATCAAGTTAATTGACACATCCATCATCTCACATAGATGTGATGTGATGATAACATTTAAGATTTATTCTCTTACTGTTGCCCTTTTTTTTTTTTAATCCTCACCCGAGGACATTTTTCCATTTTTTGTTCAGATAGAGTGGGAGGGAGAGAGAAGGAGAAAAAGAGAGAGAGAGAAAGAGAGAGAGAGAGAGAGAGAGAGAGAGAGAGAGAGAGAGAGAGAAACAGAGAAACATCAATGTGAAAGGTGCACATGGAGTGGCTGCCACCCGCATGACCCAACCAGGGCTGGGGACAAACTGCAACTGAGGTACATGCCCTTAGCAGGAACCGAACCTGGGTCTCTCTGGACCGCAGGCCGACACTCTAACTGCTGAGCCAAACCTACCAGGGCTGTTGCCCATTTTTAATTGTGTTATTTTCTTATTGAATTTTAAGATTTCTTTGTATATGTTGGATAACACAGGCATTTATTAGATGTGTCTTTTGCAAATATTTTCTCCTAGTCTCGGCTTGTCCTCTCATTGTCTTGGACCATCGTATCCACTTTTAAGTGTCTAGTTCAGTAGTGTTGAGTATATTCGCATTGTCGTCCAACAATCTCTACAGCTTTTTTGTCTTGCAAAACTGAACTCTGTACAACTGAAACAATCCTTATTTTCCCTTCTTCAGCCCCTGGCAATCACCATTTCACTTGCTGTTTCTATGAATTTGACTACACAAGGTACTTCATAAATGGAATCATATAGTGTTTGTCTTTTTGTGACAGGCTATTTCATATACCCTCAAGGTTCATCTATGTTGTAGCATGTGTCTGATTTTTTTCCTTTCTAAAGGGCAGAATAATAGTCCATTGTTTATAGGTGCCATTGACAGACATTTGGCTTTTCCTCACCTTTTAGCTATTGGACGACAATGAGAATATAATGCTGCTATGAGTATACAGATATCTGTTTGATTTCCACTGAATATATATCTGGAAGTGAAATTGCTGGATCACATGGTGATTCTATTTTTAATTTTTTGAGGGACTATCTGTTTTCTCCAGTGACTGCACCATTTTACACTCCCAACAGCCATGCATGGAATCCAGTTTCTCCACATTTTTGCTAATGCTTATTATTTTCTGTTTTGTTGTTGTTGTTGTTGTTGTTAATAACCATCCTGTCCTGTCTTTGCCCCCTCTTTTTTTTTAAGTCACTTGCTTGAGATTACACACTGAAAATAACACAGCTGGGATACAGACTTCTCCAGTTGTCTGGGTTGTGCAGCCTAGGGTTCAAGAGCTACTACACGTTTCTTTGTACTTCCCTTTTAGAGGAAAGCTGGTTTCTCCAAAGAAGCTCAGGGAAGCTTGTCATTACTTCCCTCTTCACCAGAGAGCTACTCAAGTGTTTCCTCTGTCAGAGTCCAACACAGGGCTGGCGAGACGTGTTCTGTGTACCTGTTTGCCGGTCTTTAAATTTCTGCCTGACCCTTTGATCAAAGGATACAGGAACGACTTCTATATATTTTCCTCCTGTTTCTATGATGTTGACTGTTAAGCATTTAAAGGATCAAACATTCTAAAATATTTGGGAAAGTCAGACTAAATGTAAGCCATTGACACCATAGACATCTATTGAGCACTACTGTTTGCAGGCACCATGAGAGAAGAGGGGACATGAAGATAAACAAGACAAGGGCCCTGTCTTCGGGAACTTACAGCGGTGCAGGAGAAACACACATTCCAGTACACACAGATACATGTACATAAAGATGGAAACAAATGTTTTGTGAAGTAAATTTTGCTATGCCTTGTCTTTACTATGTGTAGTATAGGTTAGAATTTTCTATTCTGTCTTATTCTATTTTATTTTTTAAAATTCTGGTCACAAACTAATTTCATAAACCAGGGATGGGTCAATTTTAGCTTCCGGGAAAATTCTGGGATAGTAGGTATTATTAAGCTGTTTTTTTAGAGTCATCATCTATGATGTTAGGAATTAGAACATGTATATGTAGAAATCAAAACACCACAGATTCAGTACTTTAGTTCTTACCAGGACTTTCAGGACCTTTAATATTGAATCTAGTTTTCTTACAGACAAGTCAGGAGGGGTCCTGAGAAGCATGCATCTGCCTTTTGATTTTAGGCCAGGCTGAACTGTGGTTGGGAGGCCTGTATAGTTTTCCTGCTTGGTTATCATTTGATGAGTTTACTAAAATAGACAAATTGAACTTTGAGAGTGAAACCAATAACATTTGAGTAATTTTGCTTTTTTAAAATATGTATGTTTTTATTGATTTTAGAGAGAGACATCTATGTGAGAGAGAAACTTCTATCAACTGCCTCCTGCATGCCCCTACTGGGGATTGAACCCACAACCTGGGCATGTGCCTTGACTGGAAATCGAACCAGTGATCTTTTGGTGCTGGGACGATGCTCAACCAACTAAGCCACACTGGCCAGGGTACTAATTTAACTTTTTGAACTTAAACCTGCTAATGCAAAGGAAAGCTTCTAATATGGACAAAACTATTCATTACTAACAAGAAAGCAACATACAGAATACAGTTTTTATCCAGACTTTCTATTTCCTGGCTTTACAGTCTAGTGATAGAAGATGGATCAACACATTTCCCCCCTGAATTTATTGACAAGACAGGAGGAAATGGTTGCACTGGGCCTGGGTGTGGTGTCCATACTGCTCTGATGAAAAACGCTCCTTTATTTAGTCTAGGACAGAACACATTTTCTCTCCTGTAGCTTGTAAGAGCCTGGGCATGGAAAGGATAGTAGTAGCAGTTAGTTATGTATAGTTGTGGGGATTTCAAACCATGTCCTATTTATTATGATTGCGATGAAACTTAAGGTTTATTTTTAGTGAAGAAAAGGTGTGAGGACTTCCCTTTGTGAAGCATTAGATGTACAGCATTAGAAAATGCAACTCAGTAAATGAGTGGAGAAAATAGGTTCAGTCCAAGATGGCCACAGCTTCAAGATGTCCTCCAGTAATTGGTCTTTGTTCTCTGATGGCCTTCATTTTCCCTAACCTGATTATAGCTATTTGAATTATTGCATTGAGCCTGTTGGACTTTTTCAGATTGTAAGGTTTATTCTGTAATCTAATCTCATAGAAAAACTTACTTTTTAAAACACTTTTATGAACATCACTTTTATCAAACTCCACAACATCAGCAGAAGTAGGTACTGTGATCCTCATTTTTGAGACTCAGCAAGGGTCCATGGTTTGGCCCAAGGTCACAGAGCAGAGCTACAGGTTGGGTTCTTTCCAATTCCACATAGATGCTCTCTCTGCTGGTGGGTATTCATGACACCAGATAAAATGCTGGAAGAGGAACAAGTGGCTGGTAATTCCCCATAGAGCTCTTAGGTTTTCCTCTTTCCTGCCAAGAAAGGGGCAGATGTTGTTCACGCTCCTAACTGATGGTGGTTAGTAGGTTCCCTTCAGCTGTGTCAGAAGATGCGGAAGCAGTTCTGTCCTTGAGGCTGGTTTGAGGCTTGGTTCAAGTATTATGAGTGCAAGGAGGTCACTTGATACCCATCCGGAAGCAGCTATGAGGTAGGAGTGATAGCTCATTACCGATGCGTGACTCTGAATGGTGCCTGGCATGGTGGCCTTGCTGTGCCATTTCTAGGGAGAGAATGGACTCATTCCCCCACCCTCACCAGCCCTAAAAACTACTCTGTCTTTGTGTCAGAAGGTAAAAGGGGATCTATGCTTTGGCAATCACATTGAATATAATATTGGGAATACTAGTTTGATGAGTTTTAGATAGAGGAACAAAAGTAGTCTTCCAAGATTTGAACAAAATAAATTCTGTTTAATGATTTGGTACCAGAAATTGACAAATACGTTTTTCACTGATGGCGAGGTCTGCTTTTTGAAGATAACCACATTATACCGGATAGATGATTCACATGGTATCAGGGTTTTCTTAAGAGAATAAGGAACAGTACCAGGTAGCTTGCTTGCTCTCTCTATCTCTTTCCTTTCCCCTTGGATATTTTTTATTTCTCTGTGGAAAGAAAATGTAGGAGCTTGAGGAAGGGGCCAGGACTCTCCTAACCTTTGGTTTCTTTCCATAAGCCCTCCTTAGTTGGCTGACAGATTAGTCACCCCGGCAGCAGCCAGCCTGAGGCAGAGGGCCCAGCCGCGGAGGCTCAGCAGGAGCAAATGTACCTGGGAGTCATCAGGAGAGCTGTGTGGCCGGTGAGTGCACACCCAGCTTGCCTCTTTGTGGCATCCGTCCAGCACTTTTGGTCCAGGGAAGCTGGAGGATTGCAGTTTTGTGGCCCCTCATGTCCCTGAATCCCACTGTGGGCTGCAAAGCAAGGGCAGCATCGTCTTGTTTCCAGACCACTCACCTCTCCTTCCTGATCTGTTATCACAACTGAAACACAGTTCTCTCAGACTGGGGCCTTGGCCACAGAGGAGCAGGTATAAAGCCGTCATTCTGGTTTTCATTTTGGGAAATGCTGAGCCTCTAAAGAGCCAAGTTTGCATGCTGAGAGAATTCTAAACCCAACCCCAGAAGGTTGTTTTTTTTCCCTTTCAACTTGCCCTCTGTAGTCTGAGCAAACATTAAAGTTTTAGGAAGTTTCAACTGCTCTTTTGGCCGTAGCTTTTAGGATTTGGGAGTTTTTACCTTTCGAAAGAAAATGAAATTAGTAAGATCAAATGCTTTTCATATATTTGATTGAATAAAAACAAACGGAATTAGATAATATTAAGGAATATATTTATTATTCCTTAGAATCTCATTTATGAATATCCACCAAATAGAGAGAGAATCCATGCCCTTAGACACACCGGTGAGCATTTGTTCAATCATCCTAAAGTTTGTGGGTAGATGGGTGACTTTCTCCTCATCTGCATCATTAAGCTCTATCCTCACTGGGTGGAGTTACCCACACATCCTGGGCTGCCTGGAACCATCCCAGTTCACACCATGGCCCTGTTTTTTTTTTATCATTAGTGCCACTTTTTACTCTCCAAGGTGTCCCCAGTTGGAAGATAAAGTATGTGGTGACTCTACTTATGTGGCATGAGTGGTTCCACCTTAGAGAAAACAGAGGTGGGATGAGCTCTGGGGAGGAAGTACGACACCTTGTCACTAATGACCTCTACTGGTTGATAAAGATATTGTGGATTTTCTGACTGGAATTCCAGTCAGATCAGTTGATCTGGCTTCCAGGCCTGGCTGCTCTGACCTCTCTGAGGCATGTTTACAACCTAGCCTTGCGGACTGTTCCCTCTTCAGTCAGGTACAGTGCTCACTGTGTGTAATGCCACGTGAGCACAGACAAAGGGATGATAAAGATTAGATGCTACAGAAAGAAATGAGTGTTTCTGACTAATTCCTTGCCTATCAACCATAGGAAGATTCCTAGATTCATCTTTGCAGAAAAGAATTTTCTTCATTTATGGCTCAGTTGGGGCCTGTGGTCAGAGTGCACAGCCCCCGTGCCCAGCAGGACTTCTGATGCTGCTCCCGGAGCTAAGTGCTCTGTAGTCTCCAGGTCACCGTCCATTTTAAGATTGTTGTCTTGAGCATAAGTTGAGGAATCTTAGGTAGAATGCCTCCTCTTTTTTTTATTTTTATCCTCACCCGAGGACATTTTTCCATTTTTTGTTCAGATAGAGTGGGAGGGAGAGAGAGGAACAGAGAGAGAGAGAGAAACATCGACGTGAAAGGAATACATCGAGTGGCTGCCACCCGCATGACCGACCAGGGCCAGGGACAAACTGCAACCGAGGTACGTGCCCTTAGCGGGAACCGAACCTGGGTCTCTCTGGACCGCAGGCCGACACTCTAACCGCTGAGCCAAACCGGCCAGGGCAGAATGCCTCCTCTTATATCCTATCTCAGGCCATCCTTTTATAAACCTTTCTCTTCAGGAGTGTCAAAAATAGATGCTCTCTTTATAGGATGCAAAATTCATCTATGATTCAGAGAAATCCACAAACATTTTAAAGGTTCCTATACAAAACCATTGCACATAAATGTCTTATTACAGGAGGCTATCCGGAGTTTTAAGGCTAATGTGTAGGTGAAAAGTCCATATTGCAAAAATATATATAATCTGATGCAGTACTCGGAGATGGTGGCTCTGTCCGACCTGTGCTCTGAGCCCAGAGCCTAGTGGAGTGCATTGCGTGGATCTCTGAGGCACCCTGTGTGTGGATAGTCACTTCTCTCATGGAGAAGAGTGTAGAAAAATAATGAATTCACACCAATACATTACAGAGGGCTTATGACCTATTGATTTTTAAGGTCCTGGAGGGGTGACTCCTTTAGGAGTCAAATTATACTTAAATAACGTTTGTTGACTTTCCCAATTATGTCTGCTACCTAAAGCATCCATCTGATAGATTTTTGTTTAATGATTTCCATGGTGATTCACATTTATCATCTTAGTGGGCAAAAATTCTAATAGTATTATTCTGGCTCACCTGGTTGTTACCAGTAATCAGACATTGTCCTTGTGAGAGTGGAGGACAATTTGTTCAGTTGGGATGTAGATAGAATTCTGCAACTCCTTAGCTGTTAATGGAGAAGCATAACCCAGTCCTTTCCCTTTTTCCTGTAGGTACATGGCTAAGACCTGGACACCATCTGCCTCTTGCCCAAGATTCTACAGTTTCCTCCTGGTGAATTCTCGGTGGAGCTGACTCTCCGTTGCTGACAGCTCCTGGGCAGGAAAAATGGCCACTATCAGATTTGGGTTCAGAAGGCTGAATTTTCATCTGTTGAGGAGGAGTTTCTTGCTGTTGAAACTCACAGCTTTTGTCATTGCTGTTCTTCTATTTTGTGAATTTTTAATCTATTACTTAGTGATCGTCTGGTGTAACTGGCCGGAGATAAAAACTCCAGCCCATGACAGTGAACGAGAGACTCTGGAACCCGTCCTGAAAGCCATGTTTTTGGCTGATACCCACTTGCTTGGGGAAGTAAGAGGCCACTGGCTGGACAAATTACGAAGGTAGGAGCTAAAATCAGGAATCTTTCTGAAATTCTGTGCGCTAAAAGGTGTAGTCCTCTCCCCGTAGGCCAGGCTTGATGGCTTCAGGGTACTCATTAATTATTTTCCTCTCAAAGGAAAACATGGGGGATTTGACTTTTCCTTGAACTTACTGTCTACTGAGTATCTATTATATACAGGGACCCAGAATTTGAAAGGCAGGTCTGGGTGTGAGTCTTATGGCTTTGGACAAGTTACTTGGGCCCTCTGAGCCTGTCTCTGCTTCCTTGTTTGTAACTGGGTTAATGTGAGGAATTCCAGCCCGGCTGGTGTGGCTCAGTGGTTGAGCGTCAATCCATGCTCCAAGGGGTCACCAGTTTGATTCCTGGTCAGGGCACATGCCCAGGTTGTGGGCCCGATCCCCAGTGCGGGGCAGGGGCATGCAGGTGGCAGCCTATCGATGTTTCTCTCTCTCTCTCCCGCTCCCTTCCTCTCTCTCTAAACCTCTCTTAATAAAGAAAAAAAGAAAAAAATATATACATATGAGGAACTCCACAGGCTGTTGGAAGAAAATGCCCACAGCAAAGTCCAGCATGTGGCTGTGGACAGTGAAGGTTAGGTTCCCTTACCCCTGGGCCAGCAGACTCCTCTCAGTTACTGGAGTGTAATTTTGAGCTCACTTCGTTTAGTCCACTGGGGCAAGGGGAGGAGCAGAGCAGCTCTGTGGCTGTCTCCCTGGGAAGAAGATCAGCTCCTGTCAGTTCAAGTTAGACCTATGCAGTGTAGTCTGTCTGTTTTGCCACAGAAAGCTTTTAAAAATTTTAATTGTGGGGAAACACACATGACATAAGAGTTACCATCTTAAACATTTTTTATAATCCTCACCCAACAATTTATTTCTATTGAGTTCTAAAGAGAGGGAGAGAGAGAAACATCTATGTGAGAGAGAAACATCAATTAACCAGTTGCTTCCTGTACGTACCCTAACCAGGGATTGAACCTGCAAACTCTAGGTATGTGCCCTGACCAGGAATCAAACTCACAACCTTTTGATGTATTTGATGTATGAGATGACACTCCAACCAACTGAACCACCTGGCCTGGGCTTAAAACATTTTTACATAAGTGTAATTGTAATTTTCCATTTGTGATTTTCATTTAGCATAATGTCTTCAAGGTTCATCTATATTATAGCATGTGTCAAATTTCCTTCCTTTTTGAGGCTGAATAATATTCCATTGTATGTTTAGACCACACTTTGTTTATCCATTCATCTGTCAATGGACTCTTGGGTTGCTTCCACCTCTTGGCTATTGTGAACAATGCCCCGACAAAAGGTGATTGATGAGGACTTTTGTTCACTGGTCAGCAAAGCTCCCTTCTTGCCCCTGATGACCTGCACTGTGACCCCTTTTCCTTGCCGTGGCTTCATTTGTGCCTCTCTGACGAGGTGACTATTCTTTCGAGTAGCAGTGTCCTCATAGTGCTTTGGATATAAATGACCCTTATGTTGGGAGGAAGATGTGTGATATCCCCAGGGGTGAGTGAAGAAGACAAAACAAAAGAAGGGCATTTGGAGGTGGTACTATACTTTTTAATTTGTAGCTTTAAACCAGAAGAGGCATGACATAGAGAAAGAAGGTCAGGGTGAGACTGAGCTCCTTTGGCTTTATTTGGGTCTTACAAATTGTGCTTGGTTTATGATCAGTCCCTCAAGTAGTCTTCTTCGTTCTATTGCCGCACCTATTTCTAGATGCTTTTTTCTCCAGGGCAAATAACATTAAGTCAAGAAAAGCTGAGAAATGGGTGACTTCCCTGGCCCCCGCCATGTGGACCAGTGAACCTTGCCCGGGAACGCTTCAATAAAACTTTTGCCCGCCAAAAAAAAACAAAACACAAAAGCTGAGAAATGTATTTTGAGAGGTGTCTTGAATGAAGCTGTACCATGATAGTGGTTTACACGGGGCCTGAAAAGTCTCCTCTGACCAAAAGTTACTGACACCTATTTATATGCCCAGGACAGCACACTCCTCTTTGCAGGGCATAAGCAGCCAGGAACATGCCTTAAAAAGGAGGGAAGAATTGGGATCCTTAGGAAAATGACACAGATCAGAGTTGGTTAGGGAGGAGGCAGGGTTGAGAAAGCAGTGACATTTTTGAACACCTTCTGTGTGCCAGTACTTCACAAATACTTTCTCACTTAGTCCTATAACTATCCCGTGAAAATAGGTTTTCATTATCTTCATTTACCAATGAAGAAACTAGGAATCAGAGAGAGTAGGCAACATTCTCAAAACTTCTCAGCTGGTCAAGTGGGTAGAGCTGGGATGTTCAGCCATTGCCTATCAGGTTCCAGATCCCAGGCTCTTTACATTCACTTGTTTCCCCTAAACTTAGGGCCTAAAGAGTGATTACTTGTGTGTCTGAAGTCTATAAGATTTACAGTTTTGTTATTGGCTAGTGTGTTTCTCACATTTTCTCTCCCCAATTCTGAAAGTAAGAAGTTGAGTCCCTTCCAGAAGAAGTGAAAGTTGAGCCAGATGCATCATCTCCTCAGTGTGGTGCAGAATCAGTCTACCTTGGGCAGCTTTGGAAGCTGCATTAAGCTCTCAGACCCCTGAGGCTCTCATGACTGAGTGGGGCTTAGGGGTACAGTGGGGGGCTTGATCTCAGGGTACCATACAGGGGAAGTCAGCCTTTGAGATGTGTGTGAGGGGTAGCCTGACTCTTCTTTGGGCCTTTACTCACATTTAATCAGATATGGCTTCGTCTTTGGCTCTTCCCAGCAGTGGATGCACATGCAAGGGTGGGGCCATAGGAGAATGGACCATTTAGTCACCTTCTAAATGGCCCGTGAGACAGATGTAGGCTCCACCCAAGAAACACTGATGCTTGTTTCCTGTTGGACTCTAGGGAATGGCAGATGGAGAGAGCCTTCCAGACGGCTCTGTGGTTGTTGCGGCCAGAAGTCGTCTTCATTTTGGGAGACATTTTCGATGAAGGAAAGTGGAGCTCCCCACAGGTAGGCCTTGCGATCCTGGCACCCTAATCCTGCTTTCAGGGTCCACACGGGCAGCCCAGAAGATGCATGAAGCAATATCAGCTAGGGTTGGAAGTTAATATTAAACATGTATAGTCTGTCTTGAAGATAATTAGGATCTGTGTCTAATGCCAATCTTGAGTTAGGTTGACTAATCTTACATTTGTCTATGTAGGAAATATGTCAGTTAGCCAGATGTCACTTTGTTGGAATGCACGTTCCCACGAACCTCTTGAAAAAGGGAAAAAATGGCAAGATGGATGCTGTGTCAATTGTCACCAAAATTACAGAACACACATTGAAATGTAATTTGACTTTACATTCTTTTTTTTTTTTTTATTTATTTTTTTTTTTATCCTCACCCGAGGACATTTTTCCATTTTTTGTTCAGATAGAGCGGGAGGGAGAGAGAGGAAGAGAGAGAGAGAGAAACATCGATGTGAAGGGACACATCGAGTGGCTGCCACCTGCACGACCAACCAGGGCCGGGGACAAACTGCAACCAAGGTACATGCCTTTAGCGGGAACCGAACCCGGGTCTCTCAGTACCGCAGGTCGACGCTCCAACCGCTGCACCAAACCGGCCAGGGCTGACTTTACATTCTTATTTAACCACTAGATTATGAGAACTGTGCTACACAAGTTACTTGCTGCTATCCTCTTATTTTCTGTCTGAGGAAGAGGTGCAGAGGGAGCCCAAGGAGCCTAGTGTGAGGTTCCTCTGCCCTTACTGGGGCTCGAGAGCTCTGCCTGGGCATCAATTAAATAATTAAAATATTAAGTTAGTTGTGGAAAAAGAAATTTTAAGTTCCACATTAGCTTTATGAACATCTGATTTGGACAGGGGCATTAACTTCTCACCATCAGAATAGGAGCCACAGGAAGAGAAGGTTCTCTGGGTCTCAGCAGTGACCATTTTATCCCACAGGCCTGGGCAGATGATGTGGAGAGGTTTCAGAAAATGTTCAGACACCCGCCTCATGTGCAGCTGAAGGTAGTTGTTGGCAACCATGACATTGGCTTCCACTACCAGTAAGTAGTTCACTAAAGTATTGCAACATGAGTACTCTTGCTAACTGTAATTTTGAGCCTGCTACAATTTAGGTGGAAGCCTTATCTGGGTTGTGTGGAGGAAATCTGTATAAGATGTAAGCTCTGGAATGTAAGCTCCACAAGGGCAAGGGTTTTTGCCTTGATGCATGGTACACCTTCAACAGATCTTAAATGAATGATTTGTGTGTCTTTGGGTGACTATAACGTGAAACTTACCTTTTTTAAAAAAAATGTTTTTATTGATTTTTTTTAGAGAGAGGGGAAGGGAGAGAGATAGAGAAACATTGACGTGAGAGAGAAACATCAATCGGCTGCCTCCTTACACACCACCCCCCTGGGGATCAAGTCTGCAACCTGGGCATGTGTCCTGACCAGGAATGGAACCAGGACCTATCAGTCCATGGGACGACACTCAATCCACTGAGCCACACTGGTTGGGCTAAAATTTACTTTTAATAGCCAGTTTTCTTTAGGAATCAGAAAACAAGATGATTTAGAATCTAATAGCTAATATTTGCATAGTACTTATTATGTGCCAGCCTGCATTAAGCACTTTACTTCCATACTGTAACTTTTTAATCTTTACCATGGTCCTGTTATTTTACCCATTGTACCAGTGAGGAAACTAAGGCCCTGGGAATTAAGTCACTTGCCATAGGCCTCATGGTTAGTCAGAAAATTGCAGCTTGATAACCTGAGGCCAGCTGAAACTCTAAACTAACAATGCTCGTCTGGGGCTCAAATCCTGAAAGGTAATTTTTGTGTGTGTTCATGATAACTCTTAAGAGGTTTTAAAATGGCTTGTTCTGGCTCTGGCCAGGTGGCTTATTTGATTGGAGCATCGTTCTCTACACCAAAGGTTGCACGTTCGATTTCCAGTCAGGGCACATACCTAAGTTGTAGGTTCGATCCCCGCTTGGGGAGTGTACGGGAGTCAACCGATTGATGTTTCTCTCTCATATGGATGTTTCTCTCTCTCTCTGGTTCTCTCTTTAGCTCCCTTCCTCTCCCTCTAAAAAATGATAAACATATCCTCAAAAACATAAAATGGCTTGTTCTGAAAAATGTTTTTTTACAACTGAATGTAGGATGAGCACATACAGAATAAAACGATTTGAGAAAATTTTCAACCCCGAAAGGCTGTTTTCATGGAAAGGAATTAAGTAAGTATTATTTGTGAATTCTCATGTCCTTTAGTTCTTGGAAATTTAATTTTCAAAGGTGGCTGCCAAGCTGGGTCAGACTTATGGTCTTTCGGGCCTGGTTTACAGTCTCTGATGAAGGTGCCTCAGGCTGTCCTTATTGATGGTCCCTACATCGGAGTCACCACCCTAGTTTTCTCTAACAACCCACAGTGAATTGGTCAGTCTGTGACTTTGCCCAGCCATCAAGGGAGTTTTATTCTTTCTGTCAGCATGGGCTCTGGGTGATATAAATTTCACCAGTCCACTTTGTAAAGAAGTATTTTTTATTTGTTTAAAATGTATTTATTTCCCTTTATAGAAGATGTTCCTATGGTTGTGGTGTCATAGGATTTGATGACAAGTGTGCTCACTGTGCTCTGTAGGTCTGTGCCTACCCTCACTCCCATCAGCCTTGATTTTTAGATCCAAGCTTCCTATACCTTTAGTCTGACCAGCAGCCAGCTCCCCCTCTGCAGGGCAATCTTTGTGCCCTTCTCCGAACCCTCTGGTCTCTGTGTGCATTTGCAGCATAGTGGATCAGATGCTGCATACATTATTATTCTAGCTGTGGACCTAGAGGACAGAGAAAGGGTGGGAGAGGAAGTTTTCCCTATTTGGATCATATCCTTCCTGTGGTATCCAGTACTCTGTTGGCTTTGGCCAGAGTAGCTCACTGGGCCCATCAAATGATATGGTCTGTGTGAAGCTCCCAGAGACCAGGGTTCAGTGGGTTCTCCACAAATGCTCGTTCATTCCCTCCCTTTGCCTGTAGGGCAGAGTCTCTAGTAGCTTTCTCTCCTGAGTCAGAATGGAGACTTGAAACAGTCTGAGTTTTCTCCCTCCAGGCATAGAGTTTAAGAAATTATAATTAAATATACTGATCATATTTCAGATCATTTGATTAGTCAGTTCCTCATCTCTCAAATTCTTTACATTTCAAGCAATCTTTATGACACATATCTTCTTCATTTCCAGTTGATATGTGTGTAGGAAATAAAACCATATTTAATGGGAGTTTATAGAAAATATAACTAAAGACGTTGCAGAGGAGAAACGTAATTGACTTCATTTGGGATTATCCATACCAGTCCACTCTAACCAGCACCCCAACCCCCACCCTGTCTGTTTGCTGAGTACATGGACATTACTGGACATTGCCACAGTTCACTTTAGGTAATAATAACATCTAGTATTTACTTTCTAGTGTCAGGTCCTATTCTGTTGTATCATTTCATTTAATTCTCAGAATGAGCTGGTGGCATGGGTGTACTATTTATATCCCCATTTTGGAGATAAGGCACAAAGAGGCTGAGTAACTTGTCCAAGGACACATGGTTCGATGCTGAGCTTAGCGGTAGTCTGTCCTCAGAGCTTCTGTACTCTTGGATTTCTCACAAGTTCTTGGTTACAAGTCCTTTTACCATGTCTTGGACTCCACTCCCAATAAAGCTATTTTGCTTTCTTAATATTAAATTCTGCCTAAACACACAGGTTAGTCCAATTGAGATTTAAAGCTATTCTGGGAGTTTCTTCACTTTGTGGATGCCTAGCTTTCATTTCATGGGAAAGTATTGCAAGAATACGTGGAAAGCCCTCTGACTCTCTGCTTGCTCCCCTCTGCCTCAGTTTTGTGATGGTCAATAGCATCGCATTGGAAGGGGATGGCTGTAACATTTGCTCTGAAGCAGAAGCTGAACTCATCGAAATTTCTCACAAACTCAATTGCTCCCTAAAGGTAGGCGATCCTCCGAATAGCACAGGTGCCTTCTGTTCTGGCACGTTCTAAGTGCACAGTGAGTTGGAGCACTCTGTCAGTTTCTCAGCTCCTTCTTCCCTTCCTGCCACGCACTGAACACTGGGTGTGCTGGGTCAACGGACTGATTTCTGACCAGCAGGAACAGCACTCCCGCCGCTGCGAGGATGGGCAGCCGCTGCCGGCCTCGGCCCCAGTCCTTCTGCAGGTGAGGTGGGGAGAAAGCCACTCCATGTGTTTGGCAGAAACACCTGGGGTCTCATGAAGTCACATCTGACTCCTCTCTAAATCCTGAGCAGCATTTCCCGCTTTACCGGAGGAGTGACGCTAACTGTTCGGGGGACGACGCCGCACCTCCAGAAGAAAGGGGTATCCCCTTTAGGGAGAGATATGACGCACTTTCTCGGGAAGCCTCACAAAAGGTTTGGCAGCACCTGGGATTCTCACCGAGACAGATGCCTTTTGTAGTTTCCACCGAGGAAGGACAGAGGACAGGGTTTGGACAGTATTTTAGATTTTCGTGCCATGGTTTAGTTCCTTCCCCCACCCACCCCATCCCCAGTAAATCCATTTCTATTTCCTAATATCCAGTTAATACCATTCTCACCTATTCTTTATTCAAAAGATTTCCACCAACTTAGATGTATTTAGAAATGTAAATGGAACTTGGAGTTAAATTTTTAGGGACTTAAAATGCTCTCCCTTAAATATGTATCATATATGTTACTTATAATAAAATATAATCATATTTACGAGGTAAATTTATTAAATGTTTATAAAACTAATGGCATCTGGGATGAGAAGAACATATTCTAAGAGCTGACCTTACTTTTGATAGAGTGTAAACAAACCAGAGGATTTTAAGGAAAAATGACAGGAGTCCTAGAAGTAGGGATTTCATCTTGGACTTAGAGAGCAGCGGCGGCCCGGCCCGCCGCAGGGCTCTGCGCAAGCGCTGACTGCCTGTTGCTGTCCCCGGTGCTGCAGCTGCTGTGGTGGCTCCGGCCGCGCCTGGTCCTGAGCGGCCACACGCACAGCGCCTGCGAGGTGCTCCACGGGGCCGGCATCCCCGAGCTCAGCGTGCCGTCCTTCAGTTGGAGGAACAGAAACAACCCCAGTTTCATCATGGTAAGTGAACATTTATTTTTGTCTCAAAGCTTTCATAAGTGTTTAAATCAACATAGTAATCAACTATTAATTGCTGCAATCTGTAAAAATATACAAAAGCCATAAATGACTCCCTACTCCCCACACGCACACCTAGTTTGATGCATTGTCCCATCTAAATATCTTCCTGGCACTATTCCGGAGGGGTGAGGGGAGTGTTAATCCTTCAGAGATGGCAGTGTCCTCTATATTAGATGCCCTGTCTAATCTTTGAAGGAAACAGGAGCGTTGCTTTTAGCTGTATGCAGCCGTCTTGTCCTAGTTTCCATGTGCTGACAGAAAAATGCCACAGCTCATACAAGGTGATTAAGGATGTTGTTTCAGTCAGTGCCTCCTGATGTGTTTTCAGCTCCTTTCTTTGCCCTTGGGTTGCAGCATTCAGTTCATAATGCTTTTGTGTGGTACTTCTACTTCATAAAAAGATGGGAAAAATTTCATGTTGTCAAATTCAAGGTAATAAGTGGAAACACTCCCCACTGTCATTCCACATAGCAAAAATATCCACCCAAAACAAAGCCCATTGAGATGCCTCTAGCACATGTATATCTAGGAGACAGACTGCTTATCTTAGCATCAAGTGGTGTGAAAAACAGCCCTGCACTGCTTGCTGTTCCTTCATGACCCATGCTCTAAATCTCCATGCCTCTGAGTATCTCAGGTATGCCCGCTGTATTTTAGAGCAACCCCTGACTTCCCCTCTCACTACTGCTTGTGTGGGCTGAAGGTATGCCTCCCTAAGTCCCAGGTGAGGAGAGCCACTTCCCTGCCTCACCGAAGTAAGCCAAGAAAGCTGCCTTTCCTCTGTTTCTGTCTGAGTGTGGTGTTGGAGCTGTGCGTAGCGCTCTCACTGCAGAACACTCTTGTTTCCTTTCCAGGGCAGCATGACGCCCATGGACTATGCCCTGGCCAAGTGCTACCTTCCCTGTGAGGACACGGTTCTGATCACCTACTGTGGAGCAGCTGGGTTCCTTGTGGTCCGCATATTAGTTCACTTTGGACTTCTAGCCTCACCTTCTCCTTTTGGTTGGAAGTTGCTCAGAAAATTTAAGACAAGGTAAAGAGCAGGAGACTTTTTGCATTTAGTAATAAATATCAAAGCCAAAGAAACTGAACTTCAGGCAGTGCTCATGTGAGATAAGACGCAAGTAGATGGTCTTTATGCACATCACAGAAATTCTAAATCATTGATGCAAATTACTGCAGAATAAATAGTTGATTGTACTATTCTCATGCTATGAAAATGGAACATGTACTCTACAACAAGTCGTTTTCTCATTTTATCAAATGTATGTGTAATCAAAGACTGCATCTGTACAATATGTAAAGGCTACTAATGTCATCACTTGCATGCACTGGACAGTCCTTCCTTCCCCAAGATTAGCCAGCAGTCTCCCTGGCCGGTTTGGCTCAGCAGTTAGAACGTTGGCCCGCGGACCGAAGACTCTCCAGTTTGATTTGGGTCAAGGGCACGTACCTTGGTTGCGGTTTGTCCTGGTCAGGGTTGTGCAGGAGGCAGCCAATCATGTGTCGTCCCCCTCCCCCCCACACAGACACACTCTGTCTAAAGATAAATGGAAGAATATCCTTGGGTGAGGATTAAAAAAAAAATAGATGGAGCCAGCAGCACTGGAGCCCCCATGGGGTTAGGTGTATGCAAACTGCATGTTGGGTTTGCTGCTGTCCTGTGAAGTTGTTCTCAGGGTCCTATGTATTATAAAGCTGTACGATGAAAATCAATGTACAGATGCTATGAGTTTACACAGACTTTTGTACTTCTGTGCTACATTAATGGAATCAGATTTTTAGATAAGTGTAATTTTCTCTCCAGCAGATTGAATTGTTAAATCTGAATTTAATGCTCATCAGTATTCAAAATAAACTTGAGAAATGGAAGAGGAAGTGGCTTTTGGTATTTAAAAATAAGTACCTTGGTAATATTAAGCCAGATAAAATGTATTTTTGTATGTGTATTTTGTCTAAGAGTCTAGTTCTTCCTTCAATCAAACATTTAAATAGGAAGTTTAATTACAGGGGAGTTGTTGAGTTATAATGCATGTAACTATATGTGGGGGGGGGTGTATCTTCGGTCTTTCTTCACGTTTTACTTTGAAAGTGCAAAGAAAACAAAAAATAAGTTCTCTTTTTATGTTTCAGTTCAACTGAGAGTTTTATCAAACAGTTAAGGATGAAAGGAGGAGGAATTTGGTGATAATGAAATAAAATGCTTGTTGCACCGATTGTCTATAAAGTTGTCATCCTTTCATGTTAAAATAATAGAATTTAAAACTGGATAGGTTTATAAAGGATTATAAAAATGCTAATTATATAGTAAACTTTAAAATACCTAACAAAGACTAGAAGACAAAAGAAATGAATGAAGTGATACAGGGTAGGCTGTCACTTCTCTGAGTTTGTATTGTTGAACTATAACTTCGGACATCATTACAGATTATTTTTGACCTAAGGAAACTACCCCCAAAGCTGTGGCTGTGGGTAGAATATAAAACGTCCCTGCTACATTGATCCTTGCTTTCTAGATATACTGTGCCATAACTTTTGAGGATGCATTTGCAAATCTTTCAAGTTTGAGAAATAGCCACATATTTTGACTTAGTATTTCAAATAAAAGATTTATAATGTTTCTTCTTCAAAAGATAAAGAATGCCATACTTGGATTCTTCTAAGCAGACACAAATGTTGATACCCTTTTGTCTTTTTCTTCCTATGTGTTCACAATGAAGCTGGTGGTCGAGTGGTTCAAAGGCTCTGACAGGAGGAATGGCCCAGAAACATTAACTGGAGAGAAAACATCCCTGGTTCCCTGTGTCCCCTGAAAGAAGCGTGTGCTGTTAGTGCAGCATCATTTGTAAGATGTGGAAAATTGATGTGTGTAATATATATGTGTATATAATTTATTTTTAAAGCAAGGAGTATTTTTCAAAGTACCACCCTGATAAAATGTCCTACATTCTACAGATACTATTCATTCCCTTTCTTAGAGCAAGTGCAAGTAATGTTGACCCTTAGCTGTTCACAATAAAAACACATTGCTTTTACAGGTATAGCCATAATCAAGGCACAGAAATCTACAAGGATTTTTCTTTAGTAGTTATATAAAATAATATTACATTTTGTGGTCTGTACAGTGTAATAAACCAGCAATAAAACAACAAAAAGAATATATGAAAGGAGACTGTTACCCAAGCATAGTGAAAGTCCAGAGAATCATTTTTAGACAGGACACACTTTGCAGTAGTTTTTCTGCCTGAATATAAAAGGCTCAAAGTAGCTCTGATTCAAATGCCTGAGGCTAGCAGAGACTAAATATTATTGAAAAATGGTTTTCTTGCCACTCTGTGGCCTGGGGCCTCCTAAGTCTTGGGCTAATGCAGATCAGAAGAGGTGGCCACTTGTCCGCCTGCAGCTTCTTAAAGCTAGACTCAGAAAGCCGTGGCCTACCGGTTACATGTGTGCCTCTGCAGTCATGCTGGACAACTGGGGGCAAAGTGTGCTGCTCCACCATCTATAAGTTTATAACGAATCAATAAATCACTGACTGGATGAATAAGGGGGCTCCTACCCAGGGAAATTTCACTGCAGTGACACAGATTGGTGGGATTGGGGAGGGGAAGGAAGGCCATGTTCAATGAAAACAGAAGCTACAAATCAAACCTGAGGGGAACAGAGGTAGCCAAAGGCTTGGTGGTCACACAGAGCAGGACAGACAGCAGCCGGGACAACACTGGGAACTCACTACTTTCTACCATGGCTTGGGGCTGACAGTCGGTGAATAAATGCTCCGCCCAGCGGGGTAGTGGACAGAGGCGGGCAGGTGGAGAGAAGGCGCCAGGAGGCACACCCATCCGGGCTGCCTTACAGGAGTTCGTACTGTTTGAGGTGCATCCTCTGGATGATGTCTCGGCAGTCGTTGAACACCCTGCGGATGTTCTCCGTGTCCACGGCGCAGGTGAAGTGTGGGTAGCAGTAGTGTTTGCCATCCCCTGTCGCTGTGCTGATCCTCTGCAAAACAAGGCATCTGCGCTGAAGGGCCCTGGCCACCTGCTCAGGGGCACATGGGAACACAGTCCCACCTCATTAATTCTTAGAAAAGAATGGGGCAGCACTTGGGTCAAAGACTGGAGGGGCTTGGGGTGTTGTCATGTTTGTCTGACCAGGAACACAGCTGTAGCAGTATCTAAGCATTGAACATGCAGCCGGAAACCAAAGAACCTGAGCTTACCTCCTGCCCGCAGAAGCTTAGAATTCAGCTGAGACAGGATATACATTTAAAAGGTAGCCACTGAAAACAGAAGTCAGGGTAGAATTTTCCAGAAATGAAGGTCTAAACCAGCCCATCAATGGAACTTTCTGTAATAATGGAAATGTTCTACATCTGTCCTGCCAACAAGGGAGCCACCATTCTTAGCTGAGGCAACAGAGACTTATTTTTAGTTTTATTTAATCTTAATTTAAATAGCCACACCAGATTAGCAGTTCTGTGTGGAGAGCCCATCAGCCACATTGCTTCCTCCTCCGCGGAGAACAGTATTTCCAAGGGGTGTCCCCTGGTTAGCAGTAGAAAATTCAGGCGTGTTCTGGGAGAAAAGTGCTCTTTGGCCAATAACTGGGTTAAAAGTCATCAATCATGATTAATGAAGCCACCTTGGAGTGACATGCTCACGCACATTGTGAAGCTAAGTGGGGCAGTGTGGAGAGAGACTATCTGGAGCTAAATTGTGCCCCTCCCATTCCTATATTTAAGTTCTAACCCCAGCACCTCAGAGTGTGACTGTGTTTGAAGACAGAGTCTTTAAAAACATAATCTCAGCCCTGGCGGGTTTGGCTCAGCAGTTAGAGTGTTGCCGGCAGACCAAAGAGCCGCAGGTTCGATTCCAGTCAAGGGCATGTGGTCCACCCCGGCCCTGGTCTGGGTTGTGCAGGAGGCAACCAATTGATGTGTCTCTTTTACATTGATGTTCCTCTCTCTCCCTCACCCCCCCCCCTTCCTCTCTCCCACTCTATCTGAAGACATAGGTGAAAAAGTATCCTCCCATGAGGATTTAAAATAAATAAATAAAAACATAATCTCAGACTTACAGCCTCTAGAGCTGTGAGAAATACATGTCCTCTGTTTAAGCCACGGAGTCTGTAGGACTTTGTTATGGCAGACCTAGTAGACAAATGCAGGGGTCACATGGGACTTTCTTCATAGGTGCCCACAGGAATCCCTGGATGTTCTTGTGCCTCTATTCCCACCCCCTTCTTTTTCTGCAAAGCATCTCGGGAAAACAACTGTTGGAGAAATAGTGGGAGGGAGTTGTGCAAATGTTCATCAGGTTATGAAAATCCTAGGAGAGACATTTTTAGCAGTGGTTGGGCTTCTCATGAGCAATTAAAAACATTTTTTTTTCAACTTATAAACACTGAAGTCTGTAAGTTAACTATCTTTTTATTCTTTAAGCACCAGGTGAGGGATGTGGCACAAGGAGAGTAAGTGAGCAGTGAATGAATGAAATTAGGCTTTGTCCCTACCTGGAGCAACAAAAATGTAAGGAATGAAGAAGTCATTACAAAGGTTGTTGCAGTTTGCAAACTTCAGACAGTTTACATCTCTAAACAAACTAATTTTCATCAAAAATAAGAGAAATAGGTCCAGCCAGGTGGCTCAGTGGTTGAGCATTGACCCGTGCACCAAGAGGTCGCCGGTTTGATTCCTGGTCAGGGCACATGCCCAGGTTGTGGGCCAAATCCCCAGTGGGGGGCATGCAGGAGGCGGCCAATCAATGTTCTCTCTCATCAATGTTTCTATCTCTCTCCCCCTCTCACTTCCTTGCTCTCTAAAACAAACAAGGGGAAAAAAAGAGAGAGAGAGAAATAAGTTTGTCAAGAAAAACAGCAGTTCCAGACTCTGCAGTCACCTGGCTGCTGCCCAACTCTCCAAGGCCCTCTCTTAGATAAAGGTCAAGGTAAAAGAAATCTGAACGGAGCTAATAAAATACGAGGAAGATAGCCCAGAAAACATGCAGGCTTCTAACAGATGCTAAGGGCATCAGGACACCACCTTCTGCTTTAAAAAGGTTTGGCAACATGGCCCCGGTCTGGGCTGGGGCTTACAGGTGGCTTCCAGTTTGAGGGACAGGTCTGGTTGACGGTGACTTGGGAAACACTGGGGGCTTATCACCTGGCCCTCCCTTATCCTGGCTCTCTCTGTTCTATGATCCTCCTGTTCTGGGGTTGGTTCATGCCTCCCTTATCTGGGACAAACCTCCTGGTGGTCAGTCCCCTGATCATGTGATAATATTTAAGGAGAACGCTCAGACAGTGCTTGGCGCCTTCTCATAGAGGGGTGCTTCTCACTGTGCCCTCCTTTGTCAGCCCAAACCCCACTTTACCTTCCTCAAGGACAGGTCCTCCCTCTGCACCTCCCTCTCTCCTTTTATAACCTTTATTCCCACCCTCTCTCGGGGCCCTATGTTACCAAAATTATTGTTTCACCCAAAATTTGCTCTTGTCCAGATTAAATATTAATAAATAACCAGTTCTGAAATCTGCCCTGGATGCCTTTTAAGTCTGGGGTTAGGGGTTCCAACTCAAAACTTCTCAGAAGACTCACTGCCCCAGGCAAATCCCCAAATAAAAAAAATGTAAGTCGATACCTCCCATGCCTTTATTTCCCCAATTTGCAAACTGCATACAAGCCACGTCTGTCCACTGTTAGAGAAGAAAAGTTTTCTGCCTGAGGACTGAAGTGGGGGCATGGTCTTTATCTAAATGACTAATTTGTACACTTAACTTTTTGTTCTCATTAGAAGAGCATTTTGTGGAACACTTTTTGTATTTTATGGTCTTTCAAGATGTTCCTTAAATAGAAAGTCTTTAATCTACTACAAGCTAATTTCCCTTACTGAAGAGATTCACTATGTGTAACAGCATAGCAAAGGTTCTGGGAAGGCTTACAACAGAGAAACTTCTCACTTTGTTTAATACAGCATTTCTCAGATTGACTCACTGCCCTTTCCCAGCACTACCTGTTACTTCCTGGGGAACGCCTATTTCTTGGAACTCACTTTGGGACTTGGTTTCTTACCCTTGTTATTTCCTCATTCAGTATAGGATTCAAGAGGCAACAAAGAGCATGGAGGGAGGAGTACAGAGAAAGGTGTCAGGCTGAGGATCTGATCCCCATGGTAATGCCCGCCTACAGACTAGACCATCCCTACTGCAGACCCGGCTGATTTCTATTTCTGCACAATTGACATGTGCCTTGGCATCTACTCGTTTCCAGCTAGTGAAAACTCCTAGCCAGCAAATGCGTAAAATTTTACCAACTGGTCAATTTGGGTCAAGTATATGGTAGTTGTTTTTATACAACTCTTTTACTTTTTATGTAAGTTTAAAATTATCTCAAAATAAAAAATAAAAGTCTTGCCTGGCTTGTGTGGCTCAGTGGTTGAGCATTGTCAGGGCACATGCCCAGGTTGTGGGCCAAAGCCTCAGTAGGGGTGCATGCAGGAGGCGGCCAATCGATGTTCTCTCTCATCGATGCTTCTATCTCTCTCTCCCTCTCCCTCTAAAATCAATAAAGAAAAAATAAAATAAATGTCTGATTTTGAGCAGATCCATTTTCACATTAATTTTAGCCCCTTAGTGTTAAATGGAAGGCAAAAGACTAAAGGAGGACCCAACATGGAGCTGGTGTTTTAGACTCTGCTGAAAGACTCTTTCCATTTTGGAAAATACAATAAGCAACAGCTTGTCTCAGTGTTGTTCTTGCTTGGAAGCTGTGTGACTTGAGGTGAGATGTCTAATGTCTCTGAACCTCAGTGTGATCAGCTGTGAGATGAAGTAATAATACCTGCTCTCATTTGACATAATTTGAGGGGATATTAAATGAGATCATGAAAGGGTAAGTAATTTACAAATTGCAAAGAACAATATAACTCTAAGGTGGTAGGAAAACAAAGGTTAATAAAATCACTTACCAAAAACAGATCCCTTATAAAGAATTTGGCTCTTGTAACTTTGGGATCTTCTCCTGCATCTGGTGTCGCTGTAGAAATTACAAATGGAATTTTATTTAAGTAATGTGAAACAGAGCTACAACTCTATGGAAAAATAAAAAAAGTTACAAACTTGGACTGAGATATACTCATAGCATTAAAAGATGCAAGAGGGGAACAGCAACTGTATCCATTCCTTTCTCTGGGACCCTGATGGGTTTGCAAAGGAATTTTATTTACTGTTAAAGAATATAGTGCTGGTGATTTTGACCTATTACAATTAATGTACCTACTGGTTTCTGGGAGCAAGGCAACAGGGTTGCTGAATGAGTTCTGTTGTGAAACTATAGAGTGTATTCCTATTGCAGAAAGTCAGGTCACCTTAAAGATTACAGGAAACCAACCTTGGATCTGGGGACGAAACCAAAAGCAAGCATAGGGTTGCTCCAAGGGGGTTTCCCCTCCTCCTCACTAATAGGCTGGGAGGAGTTGAAATTATCATAAAAAGGGAAGCCACTAAGGCCCTACAGATGACCTGTGGCTGAACCCGGTCAGGTAGCAACACAAGCTTTAAAATGTATGGATGTTGCTAAGGCAGAATTCCTTGAAAGGACCAATCAGAAGCTAGCAAGACATACATCTACCCCTAGACAACAGAACACCCGGGCAACCCACTTGGGTCCCCCTCCTGCTTAGGGGAGTCTGTCTTTCAAATAAACTTTTCTTTCTCTTAAATGGAAAAAAAAAAAAAAAGACACACATGGCAAGGCAAAAGGCTAAAATGTCACATTCTTTTTTCTTTTCTCCTTTCAAATCATTTTAAGAGTTTTAACTGATAAAATTTTTTTTTTGGTGGTGGCGGATAAGTTCTACTCAAATAGAAGGTAAGCATCTCATTGAGCACTGGCCAGGCCCACAGCTGCCGTGACCTTCCCTGGAGAGAAGACCTGGTGGCCTCAAGGAGCTGGCGCCAGGCCTGTGGCTGCAGCGGTGGCTCTGCTCGTCGGGCTGCATTCTCACTCCATCAGCCTGGTTCTTAGAAGACACCCTCCTTCTGTTCCTACTACAGACTGCAGCATCTTCAGCCCTGATTAAAATCAACTGTGGTGCCCACTCTGATCTAGGCACCTCTGAGCCTTTTACCCATGTATGCACATTCTAAGTCCATGGAATCATTCAAGAGTTTCTGTGGTCCTGTGAAATTTATTTTCTTAAAGTCTATGCTCCAAGTCAGCCTGTTCTCATCACTCGCTTCCCTTCTCTGTTACAACTACTGTGGTGCTGGGAGCTCTGCAAGTGCTGGGCCAGCCCTGGCCTGGAGGTCTGCCAGGCTTGGCCAGAGTAGGAGTCTGGGAGGGCCAATGCAGAGGAGAGAGAGAGTGAGCAGGGGAGCACAGTGTGACTGAGTGTGGGGGAGGAGCATAGTGTGACTGGGTGTGGGGGAGGAGCACAGTGTGACTGGGTGTGGGGGAGGAGCACAGTGTGACTGGGTGTGAGGAGGGAGGAACAGTGTGACTGGGTGTGGGAGGAGCAGTGTGACTGAGTGTGGGGGAGGGGCACAGTGTGACTGGGTGTGGGGAGGGAGGGGCACAGTGTGACTGGGTGTGGGGAGGGAGGGGCACAGTGTGACTGGGTGTGGGGAGGGAGGCGCACAGTGTGACTGGGTGTGGGGAGGGAGGCGCACAGTGTGACTGGGTGTGGGGAGGGAGGCGCACAGTGTGACTGGGTGTGGGGAGGGAGGCGCACAGTGTGACTGGGTGTGGGGAGGGAGGAGCACAGTGTGACTGGGTGAGGGGAGGGAGGAGCACAGTGTGACTGGGTGTGGGGAGGGAGGCGCACAGTGTGACTGGGTGTGGGGAGGGAGGCGCACAGTGTGACTGGGTGTGGGGAGGGAGGCGCACAGTGTCACTGGGTGAGGGGAGGGAGGAGCACAGTGTGACTGGGTGTGGGGAGGGAGGCGCACAGTGTCACTGGGTGTGGGGAGGGAGGTGCACAGTGTGACTGGGTGTGGGGAGGGAGGCGCACAGTGTCACTGGGTGTGGGGAGGGAGGTGCACAGTGATGCTGAAGGGTAGGGGTAAGTGCAGCGCTTGCTATTTCCTGGACAGGTCAGGTTCGGCTTGAGCTTGTGGGGAGATTGAGTCATTGCTGGTAGGGATCATAAGCATGTTTATGATGTGTTTCAGAAAGACGATTTTGTCAAAATTTCAGAGTTTTCTGTAAAATTGAGTGACCAAAATCAGGGAGCCTGGGAAATAAGCAGCACTGACTAGATTAATAGCTGAGATGAGGGGAATATGGGTCAGGACCAAGGCTGTGAGGAGGCAAAGAAGGAAAAGTATGTCGTACTGGATGGGTTCTTTGGAGGTCAGCTCCAAAGAGCTCGAGTATTGACTGGCGGAGGTCAGGGAATGGGGTGGACTTGGAAGTGTGAAAGTTAAGGAGTGTTGCCAGGAGACAGGAAATCCAGCAACAGAGAGGGAACACCAGGGCACTGGGAAATTTTTCCTCAGCAGGTAGCAAGCTACTTAGCCTTGGAAAGCACAGCCCTGGGCTGGCTGAGGTTAGTGCACAGAGGCTGATGAATTGTAACTTCTTAACTGGAGTTTCTAGAAAAGTTTGGGATTCAAATGTAAGAAGGGGTGTGCACAATACAGTTTGGGACTCAAATGTAAGAAGGGGTGTGATTTTGCTGTAAACAAATCTGTCCTTTGAGACTCTGGTGGCTCAGTGTCCACTCAAAACTGAAGAGCAGCAGCTGGAAATGGGGTTGCCAACTCCACTGGCGCTGCCTGGACAGGACCTTCCTGGCTTCAGCCCTGAAAAGTCCCATGTCCCAGGAGAACCCTAGATGGTTGGTCACCCTAATGGGAATGACCAGTGTCATAGCCAAAGTCACCCCTGGAGACAAGAGATGCAAACACGGGGCTGGAAGTGCGAGCTTGGGAGTAAAGGGTCCGAGGCCTTGTCCTCACAGGCTCTTCCTGGGTGACTGAACAAGTGACTTTACCTTTCTCAGCCTCACTTTCCACAAGAAAACAAAATAAAAACTCCTCATAGGGTTCCTGGGAGGGTGCAGTGTGAAGGTCGATGAAAGGGCTGACATGGCACAGTTTACAGAGGCCCAACTGAGGCACCAAGAGGCAGAACTTACCCCAACTAACGACATATTCACAACCCAAAACTGTCCTTTCTCCAGTTTAGATGGAAAATCAAACTCTGAAATTTTTACAGATGGAACCCTACATAGGATGTTTTAATACTCTCCTAGTCAAGGGGAGTGATTTAAAAAACTTTTTTTCTTTATTAATAGATTTTAGAGAGAGAGGGGAAGAGGGAAAGAGAGATAGAAATATCCATGAGAGAACATCAATTGGCCGCTTCCTGGGCATGTGCCCTGACAGGGAATCGAACCGGTGACCTCTTGGTGCATGGGTCGACGCTCAACCTCTGAGCCACTCCTGCCGGGCAGGGGAGTGATTTTAATTAACTGAATTTCCTAGATTCATCAGAACTGTTGGAATTATAGTTACAGGGCTACTGAAAGAACAACTAAGTCTCTTCCTTAATTGGGAGAAACGTATTTTGAAACCTTACCATCTTCAGGAACAGTATAATTTGCATACTCTGGGAAATAATCTTCAATTTTTGATTTCCCCGCCAAGACTTTTTCTGCCAGCATGTCTTGTTTGTTCAAGAATAAGATGATAGAAATGGTCCGTAACCACCTGAAAAGGAGAAATAAACATAGAGATTTTACATCCACTTTATGGGAAAGTACATCTAACACAGGAGGAAGTCAGTGAAAAGGACAACATGGCCATCGTCCTGAAGATGTATAGAATTTAGCATTACTTGATCTACCATTATCTCAGTCCCATACTCCATCTACAAGAAAGATATATTTTTTAAAAATCCTCACCCGAGGATATTTTTACATTTATCCTTAGAGTGAGAGGGAGAAACATTGATGTCAGAGAGACTCATTGACTGGTGGCCCCCAGTCAATGACCTCAACTGGGGCCGGGAACAAAGCACAACCAAGGTACGTGCCCTTAGCTGGAATTGAACCCAGGACCCCCTGGTCTGCAGGCCAATGCTCTAACTGCTGAGCCAAACCAGCCAGGGCAAGAAAGGTATTCTTATAACGATAAATAAATATAGCAGTTAATTTAGCAGTTTAGCACTTTCTAACTTATCTTCACTGGGGACATAAATTTACTGTATCAAAGCTAAGGTCTACTTATATAATAACTATACTTGGATTATTTATGGTGGTGTAACTCACTCATAAAGGGTCAGAAAACTAAAAGTTAAAGCGGTATTAACAATGAGATAAAGGACTCTTGAACTAATCACCAAGAACATAGCTTGTGGCTGGGTTGGTTCTTCCCCTGCCACCTCTGACCAGGTCTGAGTTCTCCAGACATGGGGCAGGATGTTCATCAGATCTAGATGCAGATCCTGGCACTGGACAGGACAGACTAAGAGGAGGTCCTGGCACTGGACAGGACAGGCTAAGGGGAGGTCCCTGCACTGGACAGGACAGGCTTGGGGAGATCCCTGCACTGGACAGGACAGGCTTGGGGAGATCCCTGCACTGGACAGGACAGGCTTGGGGAGATCCCTGCACTGGGTAGGACAAGCTAAGGGGAGGTCCCTGCACTGGACAGGACAGGCTTGGGGAGATCCCTGCACTGGGTAGGACAGGCTAAGGGGAGGTCCCTGCACTGGACAGGACAGGCTAAGGGGAGGTCCCTGTATTGAACAGCACAGGCTAAGGGGAGGACTTGGGCACAGTGAAGGTGCAGGCGGGAAAGTTCTTTGTTTCATTAAATAGACGCTGAGAACTGGCTTAACATGAACTCAGTGTGCACATCAGCAAAGCCTTTAGAAATTCCATTACTTCAAAGGAATCAAGTCAATGATTACTGTACAGGAATCTTACTATGAATTAGAAACACAACCCATTCTTCCTCCAAAGGGAAATAGCCTTAAAATTTCTTCTAGTTAACAAAACAAAACAAAAACATAGTCCTTACCGCGGCTGGTGTGGCTCAGTTGGTTGGACAATTTAATTCCTGGTCAGGGCACACACCTAGGTTGTGGATTTGGTCTGTGGTTGGGGTGCGAGTGGCAACTGATTGATGTTTCTCTCTCACATCGATGTTTCTCTCTCTCACTCTCTCCCTTCCTCTCTAAAATAAAAAAATACTATCCTCAGATGATTAAAAAAATACATGGTCCTTGTAAAAATGAATTTTTAATTATAGAAAAATTAATACATAGAAAAAAATCAAATGTAATTACACTCAGAGGCAGCTATTAGAATTGTTAGGTTTTTACTTCCAGGTTTCTTTCTATCCTCACACATATTTATCATATTTATAAAAATGAGTTCAAGGTGTTTTTAAATCTGCCTTTTCATTTAACAACGTTATAGTCGTTTTCCTATGTGACTACGTGTGTGTGTATACCCAGTATTTCCTGACTCTTTCTCATTAGCTATCTTAATACTATAAAACTAAGAACACTTGTTGAACACTTTATTAAAGAAATACTTCTCTGAAAGCCCAAACCTTCTGCAAGGATAGCTGATGTTTGTCCTCCTCAGTGCTCTTTCTTCCCAAATATTTCAAAAGACAGTGGTTCAACCACTCGCGCAGTGTCTGGCCCATCCACGGCTCTGCCCTGTGCAGCAGCAGAATTTCAGACACACCGTGCTTTTCAACTGTAACTGGGCCCAGGGATCACCTAGCTACGTGCACTTTCTAAATTCTGAAAACCAATTTTGAACTGTAGATATAATCTTAGGCTTTTAAAACAGACTTAAATTTTCTTGACAAAGCCCTAGCAGAGCTTCATCAAGGAATGGTCCCATGTTAAGTATGTCTATAAGATGGACTAAAAGAGACACAGTTTTGGATTTATCAGTAAGGAAAGAATGACTATATCTGGAGGAAAAAAATAAAGTGAGCTGGGTAATACTTTTAATAAAAAAATTTTTGCAATCCAGTGGTGAGACTGAATTTATTATTTTTATTTATTTTATTTATTTTATTTTATTTTATTTTTTTATCCTCATTCGAGGACATTTTTCCATTTTTTGTACAGACAGAGTGGGAGGGAGAGAGAGGAAGAGAGAGAGAGGGAAACATCGATGTGAAAGGGACACATCAAGTGGCTGCCACCCACACGACCAACCAGGGCCGGGGACAAACTGCAACCGAGGTACATGCCCCTAGCGGGAACCGAACCCGGGTCTCTCCGGACCGCAGGTGGACGCTCTAACCGCTGAGCCAAACTGGCCAGGGCTGAATTTATTATTTTTATAACCTGTTATTCCAGATGCTTTCAAAAAGGTCCAGGGACTCTCTCAGCCTGTTGGTGTTGTTATCTTCCCGAATCACCATGTTGTAGCTACTGCAGGCCGCCACGTAAATGATAGCGGTGACGTCTTCGTGGGAGAAGAGAGAAGTCAGACAGATTAGGGTTATGATCAAGTACACATCCAACTGCTACCATTTCCGGGGGGATTTTCACTCCACAACTATGCGAATGCCTTCAGTCGGCACTGCGTGTGTAATGGTCATTCAGGAATGTGCCCAACCAGGAGTCTACCCATATTAGCAAATGGCAAATGGGAATTTGGGATGCTTAAATCCTTACTTATGTGATTTCATATTTAAGGCATTTTATAGATTATTTCATTCAAAGCTACTTAAACATAGCAGCAGGAGTGTGTGAGAATTCATCCCATTTTTTTGAAAGAGCATAGAAATCACCATTAAAGCACTGGATCCATTTTCTTCTCTCATCCCTCTGGCCACCAACATCAAACATGCTGTGGAAGGACAACATGGGGACAATTATTTGGGGTGTGAGGAACAACCGGCACTCTGCTCTTCTTCACTGTGGCCCGGCCCAGGTTCTGCACCAAGGTTCTGCAGCCAGTCATTCCTTGGGTCACAGCCCTCACCCTGTGGCCACCAGGTGGCTCAGGGCCCTCCTCAGGACAGCCTGTGCAGTGCACCCCTCTGCAGGTTTCTGGTGCAGTTTCTCTCTACCTACCCCACCCAGTGCCTCAGATCTTTCTCACCTCAAGCCTCTCCGGTCTTGGATTCCTCCCTTCTCTAAACTTATTACATGTACTTCAAGACCGCACACTTTGCACCCCTTACTTATCCAAAAGGATGGCAATGCACATTTGGGATTCTGCTGGGTCTCTTGGCCCCACGCCCAGTAGGGTCCCAGAAGGCAGCAGGGAGGGTTCCCGCCCACATCTCTGCAGCAGGCCTGCTCCCAACAAGGCACTCACTGAAAGTTTACTTTGTCCACTTGGAATCGGGTCTCAAAAATCCCTGACGTCAGAACTCTGCATCTGAGAAGGTCCTGAGAGCAGGAACAGAAAAGCAAACCAAGTGACACTATTGTTTTCCTTCAGAAGGAAAGCCCAGGATGCAACCATACTATGTAGTTGAGTTTTTCAAATAGCATTTTCTTTCATTATAAAAAAACAACAACAGTACACTAATTAAACACTCAGACAAATGTGTTCTCTCTCCCTCCCCTACAACCCACCCCTTGAGAAAGTCATAGTTCATGTATTGGTTTGGTCTTAGAGACTTGATATTTGTGCTTTCTTCTTTTTAGCCACTGACTGTCATGCTCCTGACAACCAAATCACACCCTTAGTGTTCTGGGCAGAGACCCTGACAGTGCTCTCTGGACCAACAGGAGAGCTGGCTGCTCCGGGTTCAGACCACTTGAGTGAGAAAGCAAAGGAAGCGCAAATGCATTCACAGATCATGGATTTTTGGACTGGATGCTAGCTGATTTAAGATTTCCTCTGCTGCGCATACTTCTATTCTCTGTAAGATGAAAGATGATTGCAGCCTGGAGGGGATGAGAAAGGCAGTATATGAAGCAGTCTTCTCTTATACATTTGCCAGATGTCACAGGTATTTTTTTTCTGATTACACATCCATTATGATGTTAACAAAGCAGACACAGCAATCCTTCTGGAAGCTGGGAAGTGGTCTTCCCCTCTTAGCTTGATGAGAAGTATTTAGGATAGCCTCATGGGACTGACTCAAGACTAGGAGGGCCCCATTGCTCTGCCAGATAATTTTGAGCACTTGGAGTCAGACTCAGAGACAGACAGACTTCAAGGGACACGGAGGAGCTCAGACCTCCAGGGGGTGCAGAGGAGAGACAGCCTCCAAGAGGGTCCTGTGGCCAAAGCCCTCCAGGAGACCCAGACGCTGGGTATTGGAGAGGCAGTTCGAATGGAGCCCCACTAACTTCTTTGTAGGTCACTAGCTCTGGAGGCGTCTAGAGGGCTCCTAAATTGAACAATTCAGGGTTCTCCAAGTCTCTACAGATGGGGCACGGAAGGGCCCTCTCTGCTTCTGGCAAAGGGGTGCTTTTCTCTGCCTTAGCCCCTGGAAAGTGTGCTGTGGTTTGTTACTTAGACCAGGGCCAAAGCAGAGTGGGCAGAGTTTATGAAGCTAGGGAACTAAAGGTTTAGTTTTCTGTTGAGAATTGGTTAGTCCTATTCCACAAATAACATTATTTTGATATTCGGAATTTAGAAACTTAGTATGTTTCAGGGAGCAAAGTCAACAGGCCAAATAACAGGGCACAGTAAACATACCACGTGTGCATGCAGGGACAGCACAATTTGTAAGGAGTAGTTATTTTAAGAAATTTTTCCTTAATCCATTTAAAAATGATCACTGAATAATACTGGCAATTTCTTTAATCTCACTAGGTTCCAACAGGTGGCGCAGCTTTGCCTTCACATACCTGGTCTGTGGGGGTGTAGTCCACCAAGCTGACACTGTCGATTCTTTCCAGGAAGCTGAAAAGAAAGCCCGCAGTGCTCAGAATGTTCTCTGATGACGTTCTCCAGGGTTGTGGGTGACATATGGGATAGTCACACAAGCACAGGAGGACAGGGCAGCAGAGAGGCTGAGGGAAGTTCCCATATTCTTTCCTGCACATGTGTCTGCCCAGGTAGCATAACACTCCTGACTGAGGGGTCAAAGCTACCTTCTTTATTATTTTTACCTCTGCCTTCCCTCTTTGCTTTTGTCTACTGCTGTAGGGTTTGGGGTAAGGGGCCACTCAGAAATTAGGCGGGGGCACAGGCTTCCTTTCAAGGCTCAGCTAGTAGAAAAAGGCCATGGTGTGAGGTAAATACAAAAGGGGAAGTGAGAGATGTTCCTTTAGCGTAATGAGTTCCTGACAGGGCCCAAAAGTTGTGTATGAATGTGTGTGCATATGAGCAGGTTTAACCTGGTGTGCACACCTGGTGGAAGCTATGAGATCGTCCCAGAAGTCGGATGTGTTACACAAATGGAGGCAGGGAGAAGGAAGCAGAAGGAAAGATTGTACTACATCTGCACGTAGAAGAAGACAGACGCAGGTGCTCTCCCTCTGCTGGACTACCCTGCTTACCTGGCAGAGGCTGCCCTGTTCATCTTGTCTAAAATAGCACCTTGTCCATCTCCACACTAACTTTGCTTTATTTTTCTACAAAGCACTAACATGGGCCGACATGTTTTACATTTGCGTATTATCTTTCTCTTCCTACAAAATGTGAGCCCCCCAGGATGGGTCTCTGTCTGGTTGGCCCAGGTGTCCCTAGCACCTTGTACAGACCTGGTCCCTGAATATTTGTCTGATGAAAGGACATTTGCTCCCCTCCTCCTCCTGACCTGGAAGAGGTAAATGAGCAGGTAGCTAAGAGGCCCAGCCCTCAAAGGACACTGTGATGTTCAAGACACAGGAAGAGATGGGGACTGGTAACTGTGATCAGAGAACCACCTTAGGAAAGAGTAAGGGCAGCGGGGCTTCAGAAAGGCAGGGAAGCATGTGAGGGGAGGGAGGGCATCTCAGTGGCTCATGCTTTCCTGGCCCTGGGTGTCCACACGGCCAGGGTGAGGTTCCTACACTGGGGAGAGTAAATGTGACTTAGACCAGGGACAGGACACGGCTTCCCTGCCTGTCCAACCTTGGAAGGTTTGAGTTCCATCACTGGGAATATGAAATAAAGCAATGATCAAGCCTTCCTCCTAAGCCCTTGTGCTTGGGGACATTTTGCATAGCATGGATGTGTTACCTCCCATTTCCACACAACCACCCCCACCAGCCTGCCCTGCTGGTCTTGAGACACTTTCAACACAGGCAAGAGGGATTCAAAGACACAATAAGACCACTTAATGTTCTTGGCCATCTTCAATCCTAGCTAAAGATAGGCCCACTGGGGTGACATTTTGGTGACCCTCCATCTGTGCACCCTTGATTTGGCATAAGGCCTGCCTGCTCTAGGATCAACACCTCTCTTAGAGCTGCAACAGGAGGTAACTCCGTGGCAAGTGAGCCACCAGCAGAACAAAGCAAGGGGCAAGAGTGTGCCTGATGGTGTTAGGGGTGTTCTTTCAGAGACACAAGGTGGTGAGGGCAGTGTCTGAAATGAGGCCATTTCAGCTGGAAGCCAGGGCCAGTCCCACCCAAGGGGAAGCAGCTGTTGGGGGTGGCTTTGTAACTGTACTACCTGCTGTGGGACTTTCAGAGAAAGTCAACTGCTCCTGGAGAAGGACTGCAGAGCTACGGCCAGATGGCAGGGCCACCTAGAAGCCAAAGGGACCCTGGTTCTGCCTGCAGCCTTTCTGGTAGGTGCTGCTACCTGCACACCAGAGGTAGATGAATTGGCCCAGGGTGCAGAGCTGCTGTCTGAGACAAAGCTGTTTGGACAGAGTACAATCCTGGAAATGCCACAGGAGGGCTGCCTGGGAGCTGGAGAAACATGAAGGCCCCCGGGAGGTGAGAGCCCCACCCTTGCTGGAGACTTGGTTTGAAAATCACAATGCTGCCCTGGCCAGTTTGGCTCAGGGGTTAGAGCGTCGGCCTGCGGTCCGGAGAGACCCGGGTTCGGTTCCCGCTAAGGGCACGTACTTCGGTTGCAGTTTGTCCCCGGCCCTGGTTGGTCATGCTGGTGGCAGCCACTCGATGTGTCCCTTCACGTCGATGTTTCTCTCTCTCCCTTCCTCTCTCTCCCTCCCACTCTATCTGTACAAAAAAAAAAAAAGGAAAAATATCCTCTGGTGAGGATAAAAAAAAAAGAAAAGAAAATCACAATGCAGTTTGGCTAAGTACTTGTTGGTCTTGAATTTGGTGGAGTGACGAGTGCCTTGGAGTATACACTGAGTTCCTGACCATCTAGCAGGAAAGAAGCCAAAAGATTCTGTGATACAGTGAGAGAGGTTTCTGTTCCTGGAAAGGGAGCTCTGGACTGTAGCCCAGACAACCAAGAGGGTCTTGGGTGGGAGATAAGCTGCTCCCTGCCCCCAACCCCAACCTGTGAGCTACAATAATTTGATTCAGAAATGATCTGTTCTCTCAAACAAGAAGTGTTGACGAGGGTGTGGAGAAAAGGGGACTCTAATACACTGCTGGTGGGAATGCAGACTGGTGCAGCCGCTATGGAAAACAATATGGTGCTACCTCAAAAAATTAAAAATTGAACTTCCATTTGACCCAGTGATCCCACTGCTGGGAATATACCCTAAGAACCCTGAAACACCAATCAGGAAGAATATATGTACCCCCATGTTCATAGCAGCACTATTTACAATAGCTAAGATCTGGAAACAGCCCAAGTGTCCACCAATAGACGAATGGATAAAAAAGCTGTGGTACATATACACAATGGAGTACTATGCAGCGGTAAGAAAGAAAGATCTCTTATCTTTTGAGACGACATGGAGGGACCTGGAAAGTATTATCCTAAGTGAAAGAAGCCAAGCAGAAAAAGACAAATACCACATGATCTCACTTATATACGGAATATAATGAACATAACAGTCTGAGGAATACAGTAGACCCAGACACATGGAAGTAGGGCACAGACTGACATCCCTCAGAAGAGGGGATGGGGGGGTGGGGGTGTGGGAAGAGATAAACCACAGAACTTATATGCATGTATGCATGACCAATGGACATGGACAACTAAGCCGGGGACAGGGCGGAGGTGGGGTGGGGTGGGGGGTGCCAATGGGGTAAAAAGGTAAAATATCTGTAACAAAAAAATAAATAAAAAAAGAAATGATCTGTTCTCTTGGCTGGGGACATATAATACTGACGTGATACAGAAACCAACTGTCTCTGCTGAAAAGGAACTAAATATTAAACTAAATGTGAAGCCTTTGGCTATACTTAGAGTTTAGGAAGCAACCAATTTCTATCAAGATGCAGAGAGGGTGGAGGGAGGTGGGTGACTTGATTAAGATGGTAATAAGCAGTATAAGTAGAAACAATGAACTATGGTTAAAAAATACATCAAAAGGTTCTGATAGATGGGATTAAAGACCGCCTTCCAAAGGAAGCAGTGGGAGTATTTTCCTGAATACTGCTAAAAATAAGTGATTCTGAGATATTGATGACAAAGGCAAATATGTCAAGGTCTTTTCTCATCCGCAGTTTCCAGGCTGGATGCTCGAGGTTGTTGGAGCTCTGATGCTTAACCATCTAAGCGAGACCTGAGAAGCACCAATGAACATTTCCAAGAGTATCTTCTGAATTGTTACTGATGCTGAATGGTATTCTGAGTTCATAGGTTTCAAGTTTGTGCAAAGAAAATAAAAATTCCCCCTGAATGTGAATGCATGCTCCAGTTTTTTGAAACACTCTCTAAGGAATAAGGGAATTAAATAAAAATCTATAGTAGTAGATTTCTACCTAGCATTTTGCCTAGGTCTTTGGTTCGATCTATGTATTTCCTAGCATGTTCTTCCTAGAAGTACTTCAAATCAAGGCTCCTAAAATAACATAGAGAGATGAGCTTTAAGGATCTTCCAAATTATACACAGAATTTCACATGACTACATTTTAAAGCTTACATTGTCTTCTTTTAAAAGCCACTGTTTGTTAAGCCAAAAAATTAACCAGATTGAAGAATCCACCATATAGACCATCTATTCACTCTACTTAGTTGCAAGATGATACCAAACTACAACTGTAAAAAATCACTTTCATATGGACACTATAAAAAAAAGTAGTTAAACAGGAATTTACTTCCATTTCTTTCCACTTTCTGCTACAGCTGAGGATATTTATGTTAGCAGAAGCATTTTTATTTTCATCATTCTGTTTGATATTGGTATAAAATAGCAATCCAGTATTTATTTCTCATCCACTGGCTGCTCCTCTTCTAAAATAACTTATAGTCATGGAGTTGATCATGAAAAGGGACAAGAGATCATGAAAAGATGATTTATTTAAAAATCACTTATTTTTAATGTATATTTATTTAAATGTATTTAAAATTATCTCTTTTGTGAAAAATTTAGCAAGTTCAAACTCTGTCAATAGCAAGTAAAAACACTTTTCTGTTATTGAAATTGATTTCATGACACTTATTTTCATGATGTAAGAAGACTATGGAATGACAAAGTACCAAGTAGTTCTTAGGGGCCTCACAGTTAAGATCCATGCTACTTATGCAACCATGCAGAAACCCCATTTTCTTTAATTTGATTTTTTAATCCTTTTTCTTTTCTTTTGATTTCAAGTGGCTTCATCCAAAACCCTGACTCACCTACCTCCTCTCCCTTGCACGACCACTCCCTTAATCACTAAGTCCTCAGAACAATGACATTCTGGTTGGCATCAATTTTAGGAACAAGGCTTGGGGTCTAATGACCACAGAGAAAGATAACATCTGGACCCAGAATAATGGTACATTCCACCAATCAAATCCTTGAGAAACCAGACAGAATGACGCCACGGCTGACATCAGGATCTGATACAATGATCAATTATCCACTACCCTAGCACTGCCCTAACTCCCTTAGTCATCATGATTAGTAATTTTTCTGCTATATAACCCATTGCCTAGAAACTATCAGGGTGTCAGATCTTTGAGCACTAGCTTACCCGAGACTTTGGGCATGGCGCCACTTCCTCAAATGATAAACCTTTACTTTCTTTGCTGCAAGCTTCTGTCCGTGTCTTTTTGGGCTCTGATGCATGCTGGCAAATGGACACTTTTAGTGCAGTAACACTTAAAAGGGGCAGCAGCAGCATCTGCAGACCTTGGAAATCAAAGTTTGAAGCTAAACCACATCCCCAGGTGAATCAGTGACTTGTGCACATCAGAGTTTGAGAAGCACTCAGTGTCTTTTCTTCTCCATTTTTACTGCCACCCCGCTCTAGGCTCTAATTTCTTAACAGCTGGACAATATAGTTTCTGATGACTCATGCACCTGCTCCTTTCCTCAAGGTAAAGTTCACACTTTTTTAAAAAATCCTTACCTGAGGCTATTTTTCCATTGATTTTTTTCAGATAGAGTGGGAGGGAGAGAAACACTGATGTGAGGGCGAGACATCCATTGGTTGCCTCCCACACAATCCCAACTGAGGCCAGGCTTAAACCCACAACTGAGGTATGTGCCCTTAACCAGGAATCAAACCTGCAACTCTGGTTCATGGGTCAACCCTCCAACTACTGAGCCAAACTGGCCAGGGCTAAAGTCCACACTTTTTTTTTTTTTTCATTCTCACCCGAGGACATTTTTTCATTTTTTGTTTAGATAGAGTGGGAGGGAAGGAGAGGAAGAGAGAGAGACAGATAGAGAGAGAGAGAGAGAGACATCGACGTAAAAGGGACACGAGTGGTTGCCACCTGCACGACCCAACCAGGGGCCGGGGACAAACTGCCACCGAGGTACATGCCCTTAGTGGGAAGCAAACCTGGGCCTCTCTGGTCTGCGGACTGATGCTCTAACCGCTGAGCAAAACTGGCCAGGGCACAGTCCACACTTTTAATCCGGCCTCCAAGTCATTCACAATCTGCCTGATCGCTTCAATTTTTGCCATCAACCCCACCACTTCAGTCAAATCTCACATTGTTTTTGGTCTCCGACCTTTGTGTGATTCTCACTTGTATTTTTGAAGCCCCAGATTAAATTCAGTTTTAACCACCAAGGGCACTGTAATTCCATTCATGTACTTACTGTTTCATGATTTGATTAGCATGGTATATACTGCCTTCTATCATGTTTACTCTTTTTAAAAGTTGAGTTATAAAATACATGAAGTGTGTAAAGTACACTAATCTTGTATTCATCTGGATAACTTTTTCACATTTGTATACACTCACATCCATTTTTTTCTTAATGTGTATGCCTTATCTAATAACTGTACTGAGTACCACTTCAGGCAGAAGCACGTCTGATTTCTAGAAAGCCCTAGATAATCCAGATAATCAGCACTTGATATACTTTAGCCTAATCTTTTACTGTAATCAGCCATTCTGAATAAACACTACTGGATTGTTTGTCCTGACACTATTTAGGAGGAGGGAGGATGTATAAACCCTGAGGAGCAAGAGCAAACATTTCAACTTGGAGAAATGGTATGAAGGAAAAGGACAGTGTTTCTGTGGGCATTTAATGGGGCTCTGGCCTCATGCCCACTGCGCCCACCTTACCCACTGTGTACATTATCATTAGGGAGCCTTAGACGTGTTCATGCTGGAGTAACTAGCAATAGCCAGCTGAGCTGGGACCGCACCAGGTCCAGTAATCATGACACTGTCTGTCCTGCTCCATATGGAACTTAACATCTAGTTGTAGAAAAATGAACCTAGGCCCTGGCCGGTTTGGCTCAGCGGTTGGAGCGTTGGCCTGCGGTACAGAGAGACCCGGGTTCGGTTTCCGCTAAGGGCACGTACCTCGGTTGCAGTTTGTCCCCGGCCATGGTTGGTCGTGCGGGTGGCAGCCACTCGATGTGCCCCTTCACGTCGATGTTTCTCTCTCTCTCTCTCTCTCTTCCTCTCTCTCCCTCCCGCTCTATCTGAACAAAAAATGGCAAAATGTCCTCGGGTGAGGATAAAAAAAAAAAGAAAAACGAACCTAGGTAACCAAGCAGGCATTTTGTTGTCAGTTAATTATAAGAAAAAGGAAAATAAAAGATGGACTTGTTCATCAGTCTGTTCAATGTCTACTGGCTTGTGACTTTTTTTCAACAGTACTGAAAGTCTTGAACTTTGAATTTTGGCTAAAGAAATGCCTCCAAGACTGGCTGGTGTGGCTCAGTGGTTGAGCACTGACCCATGCACCAACAGGTCGCAGGTTCGATTCCTGGTCAGGGCACATGCCCAGGTAGTGGGCCTGATCCCAGGTGGGGGGTGTGCAGGAGGCGACCAATTGATGTTCTCTCTCATTGATGTTTCTAGTTCTCTCTCCCGCTTCCTTCCTCTCTAAAATAAATGAAGAAAAAAAATAAAAAATAAAAAAAAATAAAAGAAATGCCTCCAAGAGAGTGTTGTACACATTGCAAAAGAGGACTCTAGAACAGAAGATCCCTTACTTCTGCTTCACAATGTGAGACTGGCTGGCTGACCCTGAGACTATGTTGTTAATAAAGTTATCAGACTGGTGTTTATTTTAGGTGGCTCTTCTCCAAATCAAAGATAGCTGGGTAGGTACACAGTATCCAAGACTCATAGCATGTCTCTATCTAAGGGGCACACACATCCATTAACATTCTTTCAGGAAGAAAGAGTTTTAGTAAGAAAGTTTCCAGTAGTGCACATATCATCTGAACTGAAATAAAATAAATCGCCCATAAATAAACTCAAAATATATTCTAAATCCATATTTGAAACTGTACACTTCAAGGCAGAAAAAAAAAAAAAAAGGAGAAATAAGAGTAAAAACTGTACTCGTAGTTGCATGGAAGAATAACTTATTTCCTTGGTATGTCTGAGTTGGATCCTTTTGAAAATTATATCTATCTGTAGCCTGGGGAAGTTTCAATGTGAGGAAATATCTTGTTGCCTTGATGAAACTATTATAGTAAAAAAGTAATAGCTAGGGCTTCTAGAAATGTGTGTGAAAATTCCATGCTAACTGAACAGAAATTCAGGTGGTAAGGGTGAGTTTGGAAAAATACCATCTTTCTGAACGAATCCTACCTCTGAATTATTTTTCTTAAATAGCTTTTTAAATAGGGTGCACACTCATATGCAGTAACATGCAGTTTAAAATGATTTATTTGCAAACTTCTGTGGTTTACATTTCAGCATTTCATCAACTGCAAAAATAAGTAAATGACTCATGGGCCAAATATGCTTTTGAAATAATATTATAGTTCCTAAAAATGTACATTCATGTAGTTTGAAATGAACATATTTTAAGAAAGTTCAAGCTTATTCAAGCATTGTTTAATCTCACAAAATATATTAATATATTGTTGGGAATATTTGCATTATAAAAGGGTCTTCATTTATCAAAGGATTCAACATTAAGCTATTTTCAAGGTTTTATTTTTTTCCAGTCTAAAGAGGGGTTACAACTCATGCTGTACTCACACAGCTGCCTCTGTGCAACCATGTGGATGAGAGGAAAAAACAAAAATAGATGTGGGCAATGAACAGATGTGTCCCTTACAGAAGACTACAGAACCACCACCAGTCACACATAAAGACAAATACAAGGGTCAGTTCTCATCTACATGTACATGGTTTTGTTTCCCCCTTAAACACTCTCATTCACACTGGAAAGCATGTTATAATGAAAGCATGTTATAATGGTGAATCTTTCAAAGGGCCTGGAAGAGTCCCTATAATTATTTTCGGAAACACTGAAATTCTCTTATGGAGAAATCTTCCAGTGAAGCAAAGAAAATTTAAAATATCCGTAAGCATTTAACTTAGATGAACATATTTGACAAAGCAAAAGCGAACTGGTGTTCTTCATGTTTTGAGCCTAAAAGAAAGTTTTGGCTACATGCTTTCCTTTTCAGCCAGAAAGTACACACTGCTATTCCAGAAGGATGGAAGGCAGCACAGCTGGGCTCTAGCCTTAGAGGGTAAGCATATTGTCCAAGTCTGCATCTTTCCTTCCTGACTTCCAGCTGGCTTGCATGGCTAAGTAAACCATTCTAACTTATGTTTCCAAGGTTTTTAAAGAGTTGTTTTAAGAATAACATAATAAGTGCAAATAACTAGAATTTTCTAGTTTTGGTTGTTAAAATCAAAACAAAACCTACAAACCTACAAACACAGACCCGGGTTTTTCTCAAACAAACAGTTCTTTGGCAATGTTACAGAGTGAGTAATATGACTGCCATGCTAATTAACATTTTATAAGAAGTCTAATTAAAGTACTGAAATAGGAAAATAACTAGAAATGTTATAGAAGATCATTCAAAAGAAACTGTCATATGTTAAACCTTGTAAATCTTAAAAAAACTATTTAGTAAGTAAAACAACACAACTGAACAATTTTTTCTTATAATGGAAGTTATGTGGCACTTTTTTTGTTGTTGTTAAATAAGACAACTACCACACAAAAACTTACAGAACATAAACAATAAAGGGGTATTACATAAGACTGTCCTAAGGTATTTTTGCATAAGTTACAAAAACAGATTAATAGTCATAACTGTAGTTCTTGTTTGATGGCAAAAAACAAAGGATACATAGAAATGGCACTGTCCATTAAATAAGCTGAATGAGGTGTTTATAGCCCTGTAATCAAACTAATCATTCTCCACATGTCAATTTTATATATTACCAATTACGTTAAATTAAAAAAAAATTCAATGTTGACAATCCGGACAGAAAACAGAATACAGAGGAACTAGAGTTTTGATCAAAATTTTGAAAAAAATTCATATATACCAAATTAACTAGTCTTGTTATAAGGCAGTTATAAAAATACACATCATCACATGCTATACAGAACTTTAAAATCCAGTTAAGGGTGGAGAAAGCCTGGAGTTTCTTAATGTATCTGAAAACAGTGTAAACCCAAAGGTAGAAGCATCTTAAGAGCATTTCAGCATTCTGACATATTCAAAGTTTCTAGTGTGTAATATTTCTCTAATACACAGAGAGCATTTCAGAAGGTGGCTACAGACAGGAAACCTCATAGTGAGTTCTGTCGTCACACTTGATCTCGCAGGCGGGCTAGTCTCTGGGATAGTTCATCCTGCTCCGCCGAGGCCACGCTCGTGCCCACGGAGCCGGTCTGCCCCTGCGGCAGCTCCATGTTGAGGTCCAGGCCGGCCTCATCAGCCATTTCCTGGAGCAGCATATCCACTTGGTTCTGGGGAGTGGTCAGCGTTGTCGTGCTACTCATTGTGTCTTCCATTTGCTGCGTCTGGACGTCCAGTGTCTCAAACTGGTGCTCGAATTTGTCCATCAAGGCAGAGATCTTCTCTAGATTCATGGTTTTCAACGTCGCATCCATCGATTTAACCACCCCGGCCATGGACTTGGTCACCTTGCCCATCGTCACCGCCGTCTGGACTCTGGCAGCCACCGCATCTACCCGCGCACTCATTCTCAAGAAATTCACTGCCTGGTTCTTCTGGCGAATGGCATTTTCAGCGTGTATCCTGGCAACTTCCATGTTGCCCTTCTGAATGGCCTTTTTAATTTTGGTCTTTTCGGCCTTTTCCTCCTTGTCGCATTTTTTGGCACTTCTGCTCAGTTCTTTGGCCGCGAACTTTAGGTTGAACAGGTGTTTCTCCATATTGGACATGATCGGACCGCTCCTCGGGGTGGGCGGCCAGGGCGGAGATGTGTGTTGAAGGGAGGCAGAAAGGCAGTCTGCTCGGGAATGCCGCTCCTTTGTTTTGGTCCTACTTCCTGTTTTTGCTGCCCGGCGCAGGGGGTGACGTCAGAGCTAGGCGCCGGGAGGTGGGGTCCTTGCCGGAGGCACTGGGGGTGGGGCCTCTGGGACCCAAGAGCTCAGACTTGATCCTGTGGACATTGCCAGGGCTGTCTATGGTACTTATTTCTGCACTGAGTTCTGCCCAGTTTTTAAAGTATTTAAGTAAGTAGATTCACAAAAACTCATGTGGACACATTTTCTTAGGCATATATCTACTGAAATGTGCAGGATGTGTCTAGAGCTGCATGTAAAAAGATACTCAAACTGGTCAGGCCGGTGTGGCTCAGTGCTTGAGCCTCGACCCATGCACGAAGAGGTAGCCAGTTCGATTTCCAGTTGGGCACATGCCCAGGTTGTGGACTAAACCCCCCAGTGGGGGGGGGGGGGGGTGCAGGAGGTGGCCAATCTATGTTCTCATTGATGTTTTTATTTCTCTCCCTCTCCCTTCCTCTCTCTCTAAAATTAATTAATAAAGGAATATATATATATATATATATATATATATATATATATATATATCTATCTCCAAACTGTAAACTTGGCAGGCCTTAAGAGGTTTGGGCAGAGGGCTGAAAATCAGCAGTCAACTAGGTCTGCAGACTGAAACTTTCTTTATTTGCATGGGTGACTTCCACTTTCTCAGGGGACCCTCAAACTATAGATTGTTAATAAATTATGAAACAAAAGAAAAGTTGTGTCATTGTCCTGCCTCTCAATCTTTGACAACAATTTGGGCTGGAGTTCTGTGATATCCTTTTATTTATTTCACCAGTGGGTGACAATACCTTCAAAACAATGGAGCACCACATTTTACCATGGCTGGAAGTTTGGCTTATTGGTGAGTTGTCAGCAACTATCATCCAAATATCTTTCTGTGATTTAAAAAAAAAAACCTCACATCATTTGCTGCATTATCTATTTGATGTTTTATAAATATCCAAGGAACTTCACTCACATTTAAGTTTGACAGGCTAAATTGTCATTTTAAATTATGCAGGCAGAGAACAGTGAAGTTTGGGACCCACACCCACTGACATACATCAAAGCTGTCACTATGTCTTATACCTTTAAAAATACAGGCTTTTAAATGGCAGCAGCATGCCATAGCTTTTTTCTTTTAGAAAGATTCCTCAGATGCAGCAATAACAAAATATAAGAAGGCCCAACCTGCCCTAATGAACTAGGTTGAAAATGATTACTGAGAGCTAATTCTGTTTAGAGATCATTTTTAATCCAGAGTCTCACCATCCCTTTGTGCCTCCTGTGATAACTTGCCAAGTGCCTTACACCACAAATTAAAGGTGTGCTGGTGTCACATGCATTCTCCTAAAACACAGCTCTGAATATATCACTCTCTTGCCCCAAAACCTGGGCAGAAAGGCTGAACTTCTGTATGTGGCATACCCTCCCTTTTCTTTCCCTCCCCTATGCACCACTTAAACTAGAATGAAGCTTGGAAATTGAACATCATTTGTGTCATTTAATCAGGGTGGAGAATGAGAATCCATGCCCCTTCTACTGTTGCCTGGCTTCAATCCCATTCCCATTCAATCCCATCTCTGCCTATTGCCCTTCCTCAAAAGCTACCTTCTCCATGAAGCCTCCCAAGACCCTCTTCCTCTGTGGTGCCCTTGTACTTTGCATCTCTGCCACAGCACACAGGGCAGACTATCTGTGGGGACAGATCACCTATTATATCATGAACCAAGTAGAAGCAGAGAACAGTCTTATTCCTTCTCCAAGTGGACAGCAAGTGCTCTGCACACAGTAGGCACTGCATACAATAGGTTTTGCTGAATTGAATTGTGGTTGGCAGAGGCTAGGACATTACCCTTGTTAGCAGCTTAGCCAAGGTTACTTTTTTCCCCTAAAGTAGAACTCTTTCTTCACATGCAAGATTTCTAGAAACAATATAAAAAACCAATAAAGAGAAGAAATCTGGCCCTGGCTGGTTTTGCTCAGCAGTTAGAGGTTCAGCCCACAGACCGAAGGTTGCGGGTTTGATTCCCGATCAAGGGCACATACCTGGGTTGCAGGTTCAATCCCTGGCCCTGGTCAGAGCTGTGCGGGAGGCAGCCAATCTCTCTCACATCAATGTTTCTCTCTCTCTCTCTCTCCCCCTCACTCCCTCCTTTCCACTCTATCTAAAAATCAGTGGGAAAATGTCTTTGGGTGAGGATTAACAGAGAGAGAGAGAGAGAGAGAGAGAGAGAGAGAGAGAGAGAGAGAGAGAAAAGAAATCTGTTTGAAGTGGGTCTAGAGGGCCTATGCCTCCTTCTCTGTTCCACTCCACCTTATCCTTTCTTTTGGGTCTCTGGCTTTCCTTACAATTACCAAACTAGTTCCTAACCATGTTCCATGTTCCACAGTTTGCTTAATGACAAATTCTCATTAGGTGAGAGCATTTGCAATATAATCACGAGAAACCAATAGAAATGAGCATAATGACAACTAACATTTATTAAGTAATGATGTGCCATGCATTGTTCTGGGCACTTCACATGAATTAACTTATCTCATTCTCATAAACCTAATGAGATGGGCACTATTAGCACCTCCAATTTACAGGTAAGGAAACCAAAGCACAGAGAGCTAAGCAGCTGGCCTGAGATTACCCATCTATTGAGTGTAGAAATAGGGTTCCATAGATATAGTGAGGACCAATAATAAAACAATGGGAAATCCAATAAGTTAACAAAAATAAAAGGCCGATCATCTTTGGATTAAAAGAAGTCAATGTACCATTTTTCTTCTGAGAAGATTGAGAAGTTGCATTGGCTGCAAAGTTACTATAATCTAAGTAAGGTTGCTAAAAGAAGTTACATTCATTAAATAATGGAATAATGGCAGGTCTCCCCTCCAGGCTGGTCAGACAGTGTAGAGAATGGGATGGAGTTCTAGGAGCCACATTGTCAGAACAGGGCAGACTGAAACACAGAAGAGAAGGCTGGCCTCATGTTTGGCAGCTGTCCCCACCCCCGAGTTGGGGACATTCTTTAGAACCCCTGTTGTTTTCTTTCTATAGCTAACAACTCTTTCTTTTATATTTCTAGAGCAAATTTTCTTCTGAGCTCCACATATATGCAACAGAGTCCTGACATTGAGAAAATTGGGGTGTGGAACCATTTGGTAGCTCCTCCAAATTACTGAACATTCAGTCCTTCCCTCCAAATCTGCTAATCCCTTCTTACTAAATGTCACCTCCATTCACCTAGTTTTTCAAGTCATATTCTTAGGAATAACCTTCCCTACATCTACATTCTATCTCTAATGTTTTCCATTCTTTACATTGAAAAGAAGGCAAGGGTAAAAAACCTTCAGGTTCTGTTCAAATAGTATGTTTTCTTTCTTAAAAAAAAAAAAATCCTCACCTGGGGATATTCTTCCATCTATCTTCAGACAAAGTTGGAGGGAGGGAGGGAGGGAGTGAGAGAGAGAGACAGACAGACAGACATTGGCTGGTTGCCTCCCACACAACCTCTACCAGGGCCCGGGACCAAACTGCAACTGAGGTACGTGCCCTTGACTGGAATTGGACCCGAGACTCTTTGGTCCGCAGTCTGACACTCTAACCTCTGAGTCAAACTGCCCAGGGCAGTATGCTCTTTTTAATGTTTCTAGCAAAGGGGAGGTTATTTTGGGTTTATAAAAGATTATCAAAGGGGACTTTGGTTCTACAAAAATTCTGATTGCACGTGAGAACTTTCTGGATTCAATTCATGGTATAAAAAGAGAATATACAGTTTACAGTCAATGGAACAGTCAGAACTTCTGCAATGACATTGTTGCCTTATGACACTCCTAGCCAAAGTATAAAGTTTTTCTTTAAAAAATTTATTTTTCTTTATTTATTTTAGAGAGAGAGGAAGGGAGAGGGAGAGAGAGATAGAAACATTGATAAGAAAGAACATCAATTGGCCGCCTCCTGCATGCCCTCCACTGGGGATCGGGCCCACAACCCGGGCATGTGCCCTGACTGGAAATCAAATCAGCTACCTCTTGGTGCATGGGCTGATGTTCAACCACTGAGCCACACTGGCTGGGTGAAAGTTTTTCTTTTAGGGACTATAAGAACATTTTTATTCGAGTGCAGATATTTCCAAAAAGCCATGAGTCAAAGTCAAGCCAGTTAATTGTTATTTATTTATTTTTTTTTTTTTACACCATTTTCACCAAATACATTGGCAAAAACTATATCTACTTTTAGAAAGAAATGGGCACTGTCATACACTGGTAATGAGAGTACAAACTGTATAACTTTTTTTTTTCCCCCTGCTGCTTTACTTTTATTAGCATTTATTTTATGCTGAATGTGCTCCAGGCAGTAAGTTTTTGTTTTTGCAGTTTCTTCTGGATACTTTTTCTTCTGTGCAACCTCCTCTCCTGGTTTGGGAACAACCTGCTCTTTTTCAGTAAGATCATCTCAAGGTGGCAGGGAGAGCTCATGTGTAGGTTAATCTGCCCATGGGCTCTGTAAGTTCGATGCCGCATTTTGGGAGCTCTGTTCACCTCAATGTGCTCAATGACCTGAGGATCTACATCTAAACCCCTTTTTTAAAAAATATTTTTTTTCTTTATTGATTTTAAAGCAAGAGGAAGGGACAGGGAGAAAGAGACAGAAACATTGATGAGAGAGAACATCGATTGGCTGCCTCCTGCATGTACCCTACTGAGGATCAGGCCCACAACTCGGGCATGTGCCTTGGGAATTGAAACGGTGACCTTTTGGTGCATGGGTCAAAACTCAACCACTGAGCCACACTGGCCAGGCTACATCTAAACCCTTAAGTTCAGCATTGCTCTCTGAAGTTTTAAGCATGTGCAGCAAAGATTCAGCATTTTTTTGGGTCACCGACCCTGTGTACAGCCCCACTGTTTGGCCGGGGCACATCTCCCACGTCTACCATTCATCATTATAATGACAGAATGGCACATGTTGCTTCTGTAAAGTGACATCGTTCAGACACTTGGTGGC